AGAAGCCTCTAATTAGCTACCGCTTATTACCTTCGAGCCCAAAAGGCTGGTTCAAAGAGACTGCGAAGTTGGAACAACAGTGAGTTCACAGGGACGGTTTTCTAGGAAGTACACCATTCATCAGTTCTTTTCCTCCAGCTTTTGGACACCTTCAGCCTAGTTTTGTAAGCTCACCGTCTTCGCTCATTCACTAGGAAGCCAAACTAACAGACATTACACGACCAATTCATAATGGCGTTATCCCTTTCACGTTTCGTGGAGCAGCAACTGCTGTAACTTCCCAGTGCTTTTCTAGACATCCAGGATTCGCCCTCACAGCCCGGCAATATTCATAAAGTGCTTGCTGAGGTGGCGGCCCTTGCGGAATTCAAGCTGATTGCAACAGCAGGCTTCGCCACCTAAACCCTAAACCGTAAACCCTAAATGATTTTCAGGAGCCTAAAGAAGGACCCATTCAGGGTGCAGGTTTTTGGGCTTGGGTTTAGGGTTTAGGGTTTAGGGTTTAGGGTTTAGGGTTTAGGGTTTAGGGTTTAGGGTTTAGGGTTTAGGGTTTAGGGTTTAGGGTTTAGGGTTTAGGGTTTAGGGTTTAGGGTTTAGTATTCAGGGTTTAGGGTTTAGGGTTTAGGGTTTAGGGTTGGCTACAAGAAGCCTACAGGATTGCCAGTTATTGTAGTAAGAAACCCTTTATAGATGTAAGACAGGCCTCCCGGCTACCCCCAAATGCACATTCACATTCATTCAAATATTACAAGTCCCTAAAGTACATGAAATTCAAAGGCTTTTAGAGTTTAAGGTTGGAGGGGCAAACTCGTCAGAAGTCCCCACTTCTGCTATACTAGGCAGGCCGTTGGGACAGCTTGCATACCCCTGATTGGGTCCAAGAGAATCTTACTTTCTTGGAGGTTCAGGGTACTTATAACCCCAATGATGACTACTCAGAATTGCCCTAAACCCTTAACCCTAAACCCTAAACCCGAAACCATTGGGGTTATAAGTACCCATGAACCTCCAAGTAGGGATCTCTTGGGTTTTTAGAGTGCCAGCCTGGCCTTAGATGCGACATGGGCCATCAGGTCCTGGCCTACGACAGGTTTAGGGTGTAGGGTTTAGGGTTCAGGGTTTAGGGTTTAGGGTTTAGGGTTTAGTGTTCCTTGTACGCTACACCCTGAACCTCCAAGCTGTCCTTCGACAAGGAAGAGCCACACCCTAAACCCTAAACCCTAAACCCCAAACCCTAAGCCGTCACTTTTGTTGCCGACCGGACCCTGAAACCCAGCGATTGGGCGCGGCATGGGGAGTCGAAGAAGAGCCACACAGGCACAATGGAGAACGCTCCCTGGGCTGATACGTTTAGGGTTTAGGGTTTAGGGTTTAGGGTTTAGGGTTTAGGGTTTAGGGTTTAGGGTTTAGGGTTTGGCTCTAAGGGTCCATGTACCTAGATCGCATATATTTGGGCCTTAAAGAGGTTCCCATGTAGTTGCTTGGGGGCCCAAGTATATACCGTATTACTTTTCTCGGTACATGGGACCCTTAGGGAAGCATCTGAGGCGCGACCCAGGATGTAACAAGGACGATGTTGATCGGGTTAGGGAAGGCCGTGGAGATCGGTACGTCGGATCTGCCCCCTGCGTGCGCCAGAAACAGCCACCTCTAAACCCTAAACCCTAAACCCTAAACCCTAAACCCTAAACCCTAAACCCTAAACCCTAAACCCTAAACCCTAAACCCTAAACCCTAAACCCTAAACCCTAAACCCTAGTCAGCTTCACCAATGCCGGAGTTCCGGAGTACCCAGTACCCCAACAGTCCTTGAAAATGAGAATATAGTACCCCCTAGTAGAATCCCCATCGAGGACCGTTAGTATAATGAGGAACATCCCTAAATTATCCCCTACAAGTCCCAAAACCTGCAAACCCCAAAGCCGGAACCCGCCGGACACAGCAGGGTCTAGGACCTCGGGTTCCAGAAGTAGGGTTTAGGGTTTAGGGTTTAGGGTTTAGGGAAAACCCTGTCGGCTTGGCCAGAACTAATCAGGAATATACCCTTAAATCATCTTGTGGATCCCTAAACCCTAAACCCTAAACCCTAACCCTAAACCCTAAACCCTATATGTAATTTCAGGAGAGGGTTTCGGGCTTTTCGGGTTTTGGGGGTTTGGGGCTTTTCTTGGGCCTCATGTGATTCTTCCCCTTCCCAGGCTCCGAGAGTCCCCAGGCTCTTTTCGACGCGGCTCTCGCAATCTTAGGGTTTAGAGTTTAGGGTTTAGGGTTTAGGGTTTAGGGTTTAGGGTTTAGGGTTTCGTTCAGACTCAGACCGCTGTCAAGCTTTCATATTTGCCCCCTTACAAACTGTCAAACTGCGAACCTCCGACGCATTCAAAGCATCATGGTTTTCAAACTCGCGTAGTCTCGAGCTCAAACGCCTGACCTTATCAATCTCTCGAACTCTCAAACTCTAACGAAACCTAAACCCGAAACCCTAAACCCGAAACCCTAAACCCTAAACCCTAAACCCTAAACCCTAACCCTAAACCCTAAACCCTACCTTAAAGTACCCAAGACCCACTCCGATGCCAGCTCGGGTCTCCCATCTACCGGGCTGGACCCATCAGACCCCTGGATCTGTTGAGCAGGTTCAGAGCTTGGGGTTTAGGGTTTAGGGTTTGGGTTTAGGGTTTGGGGTTTAGGGTTTAGGGTTTAGGTGTTAGGGTGGAGAGGAGCCTGGGTTGAACACAGCAGGTTGAGGGTTAAGCGAGACTAGAATTGCACGGGAGCACTGCTGTTTGCTTACATTTCAGGCGATTTTTCCCCTTGAACCTTAAAACCAGCCTCAATGGTGTTAAGAAACATGTGAGTTACATGCAGATTTTGTCACGCAGCGGACGTGTGTTGGGTGTAGGGTTCAGGGTTGCGGGCTAGAGGGTTTCGGCTTTGGGGCTTTAAAGGGTTTAGGGGTTCGCTTTTGTGGGTGCTTGTTTTTCTGGCTGGTGTACATGTAGAAGACCAAAGCAGGAACTACGATCAAGGGTCTGTAGGGTCTATAGCTAGGACCCAGAGTAGGCCCTTCTTCCTTTTGTTTGAGGTCAGGTTCACTTGCACGCCCCTTGAAACCTAGTCTTGGGTCTAGATAGGGTTAAAGATGCTGTTTCGTTAGTTGTCCATAGCTGAAGAACGGCAGTTCGGTGGCATCTGAGGTTGCTTCATGAAGGGCGGCTTTGGGGTTTGTAGGGTTTTGGGTTTAGGGTTGAGGGTTTAGGGTTTAGGGTTGCCGCAGGGTTTTGGGTTTTGGGGCCCTTGTTTTTTTTTACCGCGTGGGTGTAGGGTTTGAGTAGTCACAGCAAGATTCTGGCCTGCGTACCTGGCTGCGCCAGAGCCATTGACGAACGAAGCGCCGGCTTTTTAACAAAAGGGGACCCAAACTCTACAAGTTGGGATGTTACCCCTTATACTAACACTCCTTAGTAGGGATGATAGTGCCCCACTATTATCATACCCTAAACCCTAAACCCTAGACCCTAGACCCTAGACCCTAAACCCTACACCTAAACTCTATAAAAATTATGTAAAGGCTTCAGCAACACCCAGGATTTCGACGCGCCGCCGCCGTCGCTGGACCCCGCAGGGGAAGCCAGGCGCGGGGTAGCCTTTCTGTTGGGGGTTTAGGGTTCAGGGTTTAGGGTTTAGGGTGTTTCTTTAGGATTTAGGGTCCTCAGGGTTTAATAATGTGAGATGTGTGTGTGGCAGGGGGGGGGGTTGGGGTGTTCGGGTCTTGGGGGCTTGAGGAACTTTAGGGTTTAGTTTAGCGTTCAGGGTTGAGGGTGTTTTTGGGAGTCCCAGTTGCTTGGTGGTTCATATAATATAGTACCCAGCAGTTGAACTATGGTTATAGTTGTTTTTGCAGGGTACCTTTGAACCACCCTAATTGCTTACATCGTATTTGCTTTTTTTTGAAAAATCGGAGACAGCATCTGTATGGCTATACACGTACAAAAACCATAAATCAAATCTGAAGCATGACAAAACACCAATATCATAAAATTCTTTAATATTCACCTTCAAGTAGGGATTCCACGTGCAGCTATGTTCGCCAGAATAGAAACCCTGAGCTCTCATCTAGTTTTGCGGCACCCGTGCAGAACAGATCGTGTGAACCCTAAACCCTCAACACGTGGGTTGTGGATGCGTATTTGTGGGTTTTTTGGGTTGTGGTTGACTGTCCCTAATCCCTAATCCCTAAACCCTAAACCCTAAACCCTTTGATGATGTCGACGGCCGCAAGTGACCCCCATTGCCTCAAACTATACCTGCAGAGTGGCCAGATAGGGTCTAGGGTTTAGGGTTTAGGGTTTAGGGTTTAGGGGTTAGGGGTTAGGGTTTAGGGGTTAGGGGTTAGGGTTTAGGGTATTCCTATTGAATTCAGGAAACCAAGCTGCCGGGCTGAGTCTTTGCATTGTTAGGTTTGCTTCGTGAAAGTCGAACAAAGATCCACCCCCCCCCCCCCCCCCCCCCCCCAACACCCCCAAACTCCCAGCCGGGTGTAGGGTTGCAGGGTTGCAGGGTTGCAGGGTTGCAGGGTTGCAGGGTTGCAGGGTTGCAGGGTTGCAGGGTTGCAGGGTTGCAGGGTTGCAGGGTTGCAGGGTTGCAGGGTTGCAGGGTTGAGGGTTTAGGGTTTAGGGTTTAGGGTTTAGGGTTCCAGAGCAAAATGGCTTAAAAGGACTTGCTCCATGATGCCAGGCTGCTGCTGAAGAGCTCGTCTCGCTCGACGCGGTTCGTGCTGTTCCTGCGGGAGCCGGTGGCTGCAGCTCTAAGGCTCCAAACCCTAAACCCTAAACCCCAAACCCTAAACCCTAAACCCTAAACCCCAAGCCCTAAACCCTAAACCCTACAGCGTCAGTGTTCGGCTCCTTTCCCCGCGTCGAATCGTTTGACAGCATGCCCAGCACGCCCGTGCTGTGCAATGTCTCGATTGGCTTGCCTATCCATCGCTTGGCCATGCCGATATGGCATGGGACATCTGCATCGCCGAGTTCGACCCTCGATGGTGGGAGTCTCGCTACGAAGATGAAGCAGACGTGCCCTACCAAGCGGACGAAGTCGTGGAGGGCGATGAGACGGCCACCGAAACGTACGAGAGGACACATCTCCACCCGTTCTTCGTGCGAAGGGCACCATCTACACCGGTTTAGGGCCTAGGGCTGGGGGCTTAGGGTTTAGGGCCGAGGGTTTTAGGGCCTAGGGCTTGGGGTGTGGTTTAGGGTTTTGAGGCTCAGGGTTTCGGGCCTAGGGTTTGGGGTCTAGGGCCTTGGGCTTAGGGTTTAGGGCCTAGGTCCAGGGCCTAGGTTTTGGTGCTTAGAGTTTAGGGGCCCAGGGTTTGGCGCTTACGGTTTAGGGCCTAGGGTTTGGGTTTTAGGGTTGAGGGCCTAGATTTTGGGGCTTAGGGTTTTTTTAGGGCCGAGGGCTTGGGGTTTGGGGTTTGTGGTTTAGGGCCTAGGGTTTGAGGCTCAGGGTTTCGGGCCTAGGGTTTGGGGCTTAGGGTTTAGCGTCTAGGTCTAGGGCCTAGTTTTGGGTTTGGCTCTTAGGGTTTAGGGCCTAGGGTTTGGGTTTTAGGGTTGAGGTCCTAGGGTTTGGGGCTTAAAGTTTAGGGCCTGGGGTTTGCCTAAGGTTTGGGGCTTAGGGTGTAGGGCTTGTGGTTGAGGGCCTGGGGCTTAGGGTTTACGGGTTTGGGGCTTAGGGCCTAAGGTTTGGGGGGTTTAGGAGCTGGGGTTTAGGGCCCAGGCTTTGGGGCTCAGGGTTCAGGGTCTGGGGTTTGGCCCAGGGCCTAGAATTTGGGGCTTCGGGTTTAGGGCCTAGGGCTTGGGGCTTAGGGTTTACGGCCTAGGGTTTGGGGCTTGGGCCTGGGGTTTAGGGCCTAGGGTCTGGGGCTCAGGGTTTAGGACCTAGCGGGTTTAGGGCCTAGCGCCTGGGGCTTGTACTGGCTTACACCCACCCAACTCCCCGCACCCCCCCACAGCCCCCTTGCGGCCTGGCCTTGGGCTTTAGGGATTTAGGGGCCATTGCAACCTTAAACCCTAGACCCTCAACCCTAAACCCTAAACCCTGAACCCAAGTGAGCTTCTTCAATGGTTGCGCCCAAGGACCCGCGGGATGTCGTGACGTCTGCGTGCCAACAGCCAGGCAAGAGGATATTCATGTTTTCTATATATATATATATATATATATTATGTATATATATATATATATATTGTGCGTGTGCGCGTGTGTGTGTGTGTGTGTGTTTTTTTTTTTGGGGGGGGGGGTAGCAGGAGAAGTAACTTAACTTCGCCATAAACTTCAGGGCGACCGAGGCACTCGGAGCTGAGGGCGTTGCGAAGGGAGGGTTTCATGCCGCAATTATACCCTGCTTTGATTATAGGATAGGACTGATGGTGGGGACTGTAGCACGTAAGTACCCATGCTGATAAATCGATTTAGGGCCTTAACCCTAAAGCCTAAACCCTAAACCCTCCCTTAAGGACCCTACAAGTCTAGGCGGGCTTTGGCAAGTAGTGGTAGTGCGGCTCTGGGCTTGGGGGGGATCCGAAGGCCCCAGAACCCAAGCCCTAGTTCTGATGGGCTTCTGACGTACCGCAAGAACCCAGCCTGAACCCTAAACCCAAAATAGACTGGTCTTAAAGATCCTTGTGCATCCTGCACAAAGGGTGCAGAGTTCTTGGAGGGGAAGATGCTGCGCAGCGGGTTTAGGGTATAGGGTTTGGGGTTTGGGGTTTTGGGTTTAGGGTCTAGGGTTTAGGGTTTCGGGGAGGCCCTAGAAGCCTGTTTGACAGGCTGGCCCGGTCCGCCCTGCGAGAAGTTGAACCTCTTCCTCATGCATCACATTCGGCCGATCGCGAGGTGAGTGCACACGTGGGCATAGGGTTTAGGGTTTAGGGTTTAGGGTTTAGGGTTTAGGGCTTAGGGCTTAGGGCTTAGGGTTTAGGGTTTAGGGCATTTCTTAGTAGCCCAGTGGTACCCTTTACCCCTTTTTTTGGGTTATGGTTCCCTGATAAAATAGCCAACCCAAAAAAGGGGGCCCTTATCACACACTTATATATCCCCCTTGGGAATTATGTTTTACGCATTGTTTGTTCATATACAATCCAAGAGGATATTACCAATATTATCTTTATTAAGGTTCTAAGGGGAGTATAGACTTGGGCATTTATATCAACCGACGCCTCAGGCTCTTCGAGTGGATATAGAGTCCTGACTTTTTTACCAGGCCACATGCGCGGCTCGAGTAGTCCCACGAACAGAACCACGTAAAGTGCTGTCTGGCGGTGTGCCATCAGTGTAGAAGGTCAGAAGCACCAGCTGCTCACACGGAGATGATCGCCATCCTGCTCGGAAAAGCAGGATGGCCTAAACCCTAAACCCTAAACCCTAAACCCTAAACCCTAAACCCTAAACCCTAAACCCTAAACCCTAAACCTGGGTTCCGCTCCCCCTGCTAGGTGGGCCGAGCTTCGCTATCGGATCTTCCTGGAAATGCAGAAGCAGAAGCCGGACCGAGTCGAAGTGTTTCCCGGCCTGGCCCTGTGACAAGTCCAGAAGGGTTTAGGGTTTAGGGTTTAGGGTTTAGGGTTTAGGGTTTAGGGTTTAGGGTTTAGGGTTTAGGGTTTAGGGTTTAGGGCCTCATGCCCTGAGAGTTCAATGTAGGCATGCCCTGCCTTAAGGTTCGAAGTGCCGTCCTAGAGAGGGACTGGTACCTCTTAAGAGGCGTTCTGGCGTCTCAAGTCCTAGAATGTTTAGGGTTTAGGGTGTAGAGTTTACGGTTTAGGGTCAAGAGTTTCAGGGTAAGCCCTATTCCCCAAACCATGGGGCCTCCCCCCATAAAGGGGTACCTCCTGCTGGATTCTCAAGGGGCAAACCCTTTTTTTGTTGGGAGCTGTTGGGGCTCCTCAGTCTTGTAGACCCCCATACCCTAAACCCTAAACCCTAAACCCTGAACCCTGAACCCTAAACCCTAAACCCTAAACCCTAAACCCTAAGCCCTAAGCCCTAAGCCCTAAATCCTAAACCCTAAACCCTAAGCCCTAAACCCTAAACCCTAAACCCATGCCTTGCTCGACATGATGGGGCTTTAGGGTGTAGGGATTCCGACATTTCGCGGCTCTGCGACTGAGGTTTTTCTACCAGGACTTTCGCCGTAATGCCACTGGCGTGCTCGAGTCCCTGGCCCGTTTCGTGGGTGTGCTCCTCTTGCTGCACTAGGAAGGAGTTGCACGGTTCATGCTCCCCGGAGTTGGCAGCTACCCTAAACCCTGAACCCTAAACCCTAAACCCTAAACCCTAAACCCTAAACCCTAAACCCTAAACCCTAAACCCTCTGCTGGGTTTAGGGTTTAGGGGTTTAGGGTTGAGGGGTTCTCTGATGGCCCACTCGCCGCCGTCTAGATGAAGACAAGGGGCCCCCCGGGTGATTAGCCAACCCGCCCCAACATTGAAGCTCTATACTTTGAACCTTCCACGCCCTAAACCCTAAACCCTAAACCCTAAACCCCTCATCAATTGCACTAAACCTACATACCTAACCCTCAACCTTGCACGCCAAGACCCTACACCCTTCGGATTTGCTCTTCAGAACTTGCCTTGGACCTTATCTATACTTGGAGGGACCCCCCGAAAGTGCTGCGGTCTAGGGCCCTCGAGTCATAGGGGCCCAAAAAGCCACATAAACATAAGGATCCTACAAACAGGGTTTTTCGGAATCCCCCCTCATAGGGGCCCTTACACCCCAATAGTAGGATCCTTATGTTTATGTGGTTTTGGGGGCCCCTAGTTTAGGGTTTAGAGCGTAATGCTTTTTTGTGGGGCGGGGGGGGGGGGGGTAGTTCACGATTGATGACCCCAAAACCTTGCGTTTCTGGTTTTTCTCGGAAGATGAGGGAACACTCTGTGTGTGTGCAGGCTGTTCCGACCTCATCGTTGTGACATTTTTCCAGCTATGCGGGTGCCAACCAACCCTACACCCGGGCAGATGCCGAATCCCTCCCTACACTCCTGAGACGTTTCCCACCCTTGGAACGCAGGGGTTGAGGGTATGTGAGCACATTCCGATGTGGGAATCTCACGGCTGCGGACAGAAACTGCTTGGCCGATGCGGCCGGGACCCTCAAGCATACACCAGACGGGTACTTGAGCGAAAGTCATACTGAATCCTTCTGGATTGGGCACAGGGGCCAAACCCTAAACACCTTAAGCCCTTTGACAGACAGCCCCTGAACTCCTAGACTCCTGAAACCAAAGCCCCAACACCCTAAGCCGATAAGCCCCTGAACCCCAGAAGAACACTTGGAGGTCCCTGGGCTACGTAACAAGGTAGAGAGTGCTAAGTTCTAAGTGCGCAAAAAACCATACCTACCCTGCTTCTAACCCTACTTTCTAAGCACCCTAAAAAACCTCCAAAGAGTACCCATTTACAGAATGTTATAACCATAGTTACCCTACCTACTCTCAAGTACCCAAATGAACCCCAGAACATGGGTCCAAGCCCATCAGCCCGGAACCCTAAACCCTGAACCCCAAACCCTAAACCCTAAACCCTAAACCCTAAACCCTAAACCCTAAACCCTAAACCCTAAACCCTAAACCCTAAACCCTAAACCCTAAACCCTACTCTTTTAACTACCCCCCAAAATGAACCCCAGACAAAAGGGGATCCGCGTCCGCCACCATGAGGTCCCCGTCGGATCCAGGGCTCCAAGCGCTGGCACAGGCGGCTGCGAGCGGCGTCACTTGCTTGGCGACTTCCCTGCTACCCGTGCCTTGCATTGTAGGGTCTAGGGTTTAGGGTTTAGGGTTTAGGGTTTAGGGTTTAGGGTTTAGGGTTTAGGGTTGTTCCCCAAGCCCTGGAAACCCTAAACCTTCATTTGTTCCTGAAAACCCTACACCCCTAAAAGACCCTAGATTACTCCTAAACCCCCAGATTCTTCCCTAACCCCCTAAACCCTTCTCTGCAGGGTTTTGGGGTTTTTGGGGTTCGCAGGGTAACGCCCGAAAACCCTGGGCCCGGCGTTCCCCCAGATGGGTTTGGGGGTTTGGGGTTTGGAGTTTGGGGTTTAGGGTTTAGGGTTTAGTGTTCAGGGTTTGGGGTTTAGGGTTTAGGGTTCAGGGTATAGGGTTTAGGGTTTAGGGTTTGTTTGATTCACTGAACCCCTCTTTAGTTCTGGGTTCCCTCGTGAAGTAACCAACCCAAAATAGGGCGCCGTTAATACTTTGCTTTGACAATATGGTTTAATATGGTTTCTGGGCCAAGCCGTAATTGTTCCCAAACCTCCAAAACCTGACCCCTGGTCTTGGCAGATGTACCCTAAACCCTAAACCCTAAAACCCCCTAAACCCTAAACCTAAGCCCTAAACCCTGAACCCTAAACCCTAAGCCCAAAGCCCTGGGCAAACTAGATCTAAGTCGCCGTGGCCACTCAGGGCTTTCTTGTCGCTTCTCTGACGCGCATGATGAAGCAGGAATTGTCCAGAGACCTCGCAGACACTGGGCGCATGCCATCAGGTTTAGGGTTTAGGGTTTAGGGTTTAGGGTGTAGGGTTTAAGTTTCTAATGATATTCCCTTATGGTCCCTGTGTGTTTTTTCTAGAACAAGCCCCAAAACCTTGTCCGAATTATTCAGGCCCCTATATTACTGATATTGGAGGATTCAGGCTTGCATATTGTGCGGATCGCATGTGGGGCTAGTAGTGCCTCTATGCCATCTATTCGGTCATACCAGCAGGATGGCTTGTCCGGAATCTGGCAAAGCGGGTCCATCTATCCTAGAGAGTTCTATGTGGGGGATCTGTCGGGGGATGTTCCTCTTCATAGCTCCCTACAAAGAGAACGCTAAGTTCATTCAGCGGGTTCTCTGGGCATCATTTCAGTTTCCCACAGCCGTTTGGAGAACCCAATGCCCCAGGAAACCCAAAAAGGTCTCAAGCCTTTACGAATACAAAAACAAGGAGGTGCGACAAAAAGAGCCGATAGAGACCCCTAAAGCCCCTTAACAGCCTGAACCTAATCCAAAGACACCTGTAGCCCTAACATCCTAAACCCTAAACCTTGAAAACCTTAAACCCTACACCTCAAACCCTAAAAGCGCTCCAAACCATTGAAACCTAACACCCTAAAACCCTCAAACCGTAGACCCCTAACCCCCTTAAACTCTAAACCCCTGAAAACCCTCAAAACCCTTGAAACCCTAAAGCCCTTTTCAGGACCCCCAAAAGCCCTCAAAAACCCTTGAAACCCTAAAGCCCTAGCACCCCAAAACCCTCAAACGCTAAACCCCGGAACCCCTTAAAACCCTAAACCCTATATAAACCCTAAAGCCCTAAAGCCCTGAAGCCTGAAACCCTAAACCCTCCAACCCAAGCCCTAAAGCCCAGCTTAAAGACCCTGAAGCCCTTTGGTTGGATCCCTAAACCCTAAGCCCTGAACCCCAAACCCTAAACCCCAAACCCCTTGAAACCCTAGACACTAAACCCCAAACCCCTTGAAACCCCAAAACCCTCAACCCTAAAACCCTAAACCCTAGAACCCTAAAACCCTAAACCCTCAAAACCCTAAAACCCTCCTGAAACCCTAAAACCCAAAACACCCTGCACCCTAAAAATCTACACTCTCTAAAACTCTAGACCCGAAACCCCAACTTAAAACCCCGAAGCCCCTTTGTGTCAGATTCAGACCCTAAACCCTAAAACCTAAAACCTGAACCCTTAACCCTAAAACCTGAACCCTAAACCCTAAACCCTAAACCCTAAACCCTAAACCCCAACCTAAAGTCCCTAGAAGCCCTTTCTGTTGGATTCAGGATCCCTGGGCTGCCATCTGCCCGCCGACCTGGCCGGCAGGCTGCCGTCGCCAATCGCAGCTAAACCGCCCCTTGTCCGGCGTGGCTCCGTTTTTTTGGGGGGGTTTAGGGTTTAGGGTGTAGGGTTTAGGGTTTAGGGTTTAGGGTTGAGTAGGGTTTATGAGGGTTTAGGGTTGCAGTTAGCCTCAAACCCCCTCGCAGATCGTTGTTGGGGTCCTGTGGATACCAGGAGGTTCAAGGATACCTTGAACCCCAAGTAGCACTGTACTTACAAGCCCCAACCTTAAACCCTAAACCCTAGACCCCACACCCTAAACCCTAAACCCTAAACCCTAAACCCTAATCCCCCTAAGTCCTCGAAGTAGATCATAAGTAGTCTTTTCATTTTGTTTTGTAAGCACCCTTGGAACCTCCGAGTCGCCTTCAGGCGGCATTGGGCGCATCGGCGACACCTGCGGCGCCCGAGCGCGCTACTGCCCCGACCTTTGCTACCGACTCTTTGGCTTGTTTTTTTTTTTGACGTGGGGGGCCCCTTTTGGGGACTAAAAATGAACCCTAAAAGGGTTGCAGGTTCATGTACCTGAATAGGAACTAGAGTAGTAGTCTTACTGGCTCAAACACAACTTTTCAACGGGCTTCTTATACGGTAGTTTATTCTGAAAGTTTCAACTTTTCTTTCTTTGGGTTTTGGGTCAGTAAGTAGTTTAGGGCGTATGACTCTGTATGACCCCAAATTTCCAGGTTCATCTTGTCTCCAGGGCTTCCTCACAGGTCTCCACACCTTCCTCACAGGTGTCGGGCTTAGGCTTGACTATGTAGGTCTAGGACTCTAGGACCCAAAGTAGGCCCTAATTCCCTTTTGTTTTAGGGTTAGCTTCCCTTATAAGGTCCTTTAAACCAGAAAGGTCGCCCGTGTTATTCCTAGGTTCTTCTTGGGTCTCGTGGTCGTTGGGACATTTCATTCTTGCCCTAAGAGGACCCGAATTACGGAACAGCCTTTTTTTTGCTTGACAGAGGTTCCTACATAGTTGAAGGTGTGTGCATTCATGCATATATACAATATATATATACACACACAGAATGAGGACACCTACTTGTAGCAATTCCCTAATTACGTAAGGGTTCGCCTCGAGACATGTAATCCCGAACACGCCTTTGCCATGTAACTGAATAGGAACAGCGATGAGAACCTTTTGCCTTTTTTAAGCGGTGGCAGAACGCGGCCTACAGAGACTGTAGTCAGATCAGCACTACCCCTGCCTGTCCCCCATGTCTCCCCCAATCCAGGTAGAGTAGTTGGGTCAGGACTGGATCAACGGCAATGTACAACACCGCCAGGAAAGTCGGGCACAACAACCCTCTCCTGTATTCAATACGTGGGTACATACATCTTTGTCTCTGTATACGGGAAATAGCCCGTCCAGTCACAGAACGTGGAGAGAGGACGTCCGGCCACAACATGAGAGAGAGAGAGAGAGAGAGTGAGTGAGAGCGAACGAGAGCCCCTAAACCCGAATCCCTAGGCCCCGTGGGTGGGTAGGTACGGTATATCAGCATCACTGCAACTTGGTTTCTGTCCGAACTGCATCAGGACTTGGGATGCTGAACCCCAAGCCCTCAACTCTACTTACAGGGCTTAGGGATAGTAGGGCACTTAAACAACCCAGAACCTATTTTTTTAGTAGGCTTCTACTGCACAACCCTGCTAGGCTTCTTGACGTGGGATTTGCGTTCATGTATGTCAAGGAATGAACACACCGCCCTTCTGTGCTTCTCTGTCCAGCGGCCCCACGACCAAGCCCTGCCGAGTGGACTTGCACCGGGGGGGGGGGGGTTTAGGGTTTAGGGTTTAGGGTTCAGGGTTTAGGGTTTAGGGTTTAGGGTTTAGGGTCTGGGGTGAATTTAAGGTTCATGGGTACGTAGGGCTATCAGGTACCCTAGAGGATATAGCCATCGTTGCCTGACTTATCACCCTACTTGTAAGTATATATGGTTCAGCCCCGGCGGTCCCCCCCCCCCCCCCCACCCCCCACCCCCCCCCCCCCCCTACCCACCCCCCCCCCCCCCCCCCCACCCCACCCCCCCACCCCCCCCCACCCCCCCCCCCCCTACCCCCCCCACCCCCCCCCCCCCCCCCCCCCAATGGGTACTAAGATCATACCCCCCCCCCCCCCTGTGGTGTGGTTGGGGGTGGTTTTAGGGGGGTTTAGGGTTTTAGGGTTTAGGGTTTAAGGTTTAAGACTTAAAGGTTTAGGGTTAGGGTTTAGGGTTTAGGGTTTAGGGCTTTAGGGTTTTTAGGGTTTAGGGTTTAGGGTTTAGGGTTTAGGGTTTAGGGTTTAGGGACCGTAGAGTAGACTTGGGGGGGGGGGGGGGGGATACCATGGGGGGGGGGGGGGCCCAGGACGCCCGACGCTGAACCATATATGAACCTCAGAGTAGGGTTTAGGGTTCTGGGTTTAGGGGTGAGGGGGGGCTGAGGTATGTGGCAATATGAGCAACATCATGTGCCCAATGTGGGTGGTTTTGTTAGTTGGGGCTGTTAGGTATCTGGGCAGTTCACACGGGGCCTGTTCTTTTGGGTGCCCAAACGGGACCATCGTCTTGAGAACATTCCACTCCCTCAAATTCACAAAGTGATTCTGTGGCTTCCCAGAGGGCTTCTTGACCAGGTTTTTGACGGTTGTATAAGGGCGACAAAGACGAGTCAGCGCGGAGCGCGGCAAGCCCCCCCGCCTTGAGGGCTTCGGGTTAGGGAAAAGGGCTGAGGGTGCCCAGTTCGGCCCATACGTTCGGCTTTGCTGGTCCTCTTCCGGGCCTGTGGCTCCTGGACAAAGAAGGTTCCCTAAGACTCCCCACTACTCCCTCAGGCTCCCTAAGTTTCCCGAAGGTTCCTTGCGTACCTGCCCCCCATGAAACGCCCTCTCCCTGAAGAACCTCTTTAAAGGAGAGGGAGGGAGGTACCTGTAGGACTCAAACATAGAAGAAGTAATCCCCAGATTGCCCTGCTATTGTAGGGCTGAGGGAAAACTCCTGGGGCCCACAGGACAACGCCGGCCAGGATTGGCCGCTTGGCGTCTCATGTGCTGCCCGTTCAGGGATGCCCTACAGTCAAGGGTCCTTCGGGGCTTCTTTTCGGGTGAGGGGTAGTTAGGGTGTAGGTGGTAGGGTGTGGGCGCCACTCAGAAAGCCACATTTCCCTGAATTGCGTCCCACACGGCCTCGCCGGCGTAGGGTCTTGAGACTGAAAGGGTCCTACAGTGGATTTGGGTTCTTGGTAGGGAATGAGGGTATAGAATCCCTGAAAAGGGTGTACAATATGGGGGATATAGGGTACCTGCTTTTCCCTCAGAGGTCAGTGTTTGGGGTAGGCTGTGCAGCTTCTTTGGCGGTGAGACCTGAGATCCTGTTAAGAAAGAATCTAGGTGTTGCTTGAAGGCTTATATAAGTACAGTTGGAAATACCCTAAATGCGGTTATAGCCACAGCTACCCTGCTTATAGCCCTATTTCATTCGGGTACTTATAAGTAGGGTTGGAAATACCCTACATAAGGTTGTAGCCATAATGTTACCCTACTTATAACCCTACTCCGACTTAAGCACCCAAATAAACCTCCAAGTTGGTGTGAGTGATGTTCGACAAGTAGTCGAAACTCTTCGCAGCCAAGCCCTGCACCCTAAAACCTTAACCCTAAACCCTACACCCTACACCCTAAAACCTTCAGCCCTTGCACTCCAGGTTTGTGAGCATGGTGCCCAACACCGCGGCTTCACGAGAATCAGACTTGCTGTTTGCCAGTTTCAGCTGTTGAGGCTGGTCCAAGGCTTGGGGACCCTAAACCCTTATCAGCCCTAAAAACTAAACCCTTGTAAACCCTAACCCGAAAACCCCAGGCCCTAAATCCAAGAACCTGGTCCTACCGGTGCTTCGGGGCTTCTGTTGGGGACTGCAGGGCATGGGCAAAGCCCGCAACTCTCCGCGAGCCCATCTGCATCATGCTTTCTGATTTCTGTCACGATTCCTACGAGCATTTTTTGTGACCATGGTCACTCTTTATTTGCCAATTAGTATTCGTAGTTATTCTTCTCATTTTCTTCTTATTCTTCTTATTGCTCGTCTTATTATTTTTATTGTTATTCTTATTATGATTATTGTTATTATTACTACTACTAGTATTATTATTCGTAGATTGGATGGAGCGTTTCGGACAGTGGGCTTGCCACCACTGACTTCGAGTTGGCTGGCTCAGGGGTTCCCTCCACCCTATGAAAGGCTGCTTGGTAATTAATCCTGAGGTTTAGGGTTTAGGGTTGCAGGGGTTGGGGTTTAGGGTTTAGGGTTTAAAGGTTTAAAGGTTGAAGGGGTTGGGATGCGGACCCTCGATGTTTTGGGCCGCCACAATCCTGGTAAGGTTTCACAGGTTCTAACCATGAAGCCCATGAATGTTCACAATGACAAGGCCACGCTAAGCAACCCCTCCCTGCCTTCCGAGCCCTCCCCCCCTGCCCCATCCTCCCACCCCCCCCCCTCCGGGCTCATTCACCGTAACTACCCCCACCCTGCGGTTTAGGGTTAGGGTTTAGGGTTTAGGGTTAGGGTGCAGGGGCCCAGCAGACCTGGGCTGAGGTCAACCGCGGCGTCATGCACACTTACTTTCAGCCCATCGGCAAGCGCAAGTCATCGGACACTCAGACGCATTCTGCAGGCCATGGATGGTGAGGCCTCAACATCCCTAGACCCCCCAGAACCGTAAAGCCTCAAATAGGGGAAGGGGGTCCCGAAAGCCTAAACCGAAGTCCTAGAAGACCTACACCCTAAACCCTAAACCCTAAACCCTAAACCCTACCCTAAACCCTAAACCCCAGGAGCAGCCATCCAGCCAGGTCTTTCAGTCAGTCGTAATCCTCGAATAGTCCCTGCGGAGGTGATTGAGAGCGATCAGCCAGGCGGGTAGCAAAAAAACAACCTAAGCCCTCCTAGGGGCACAATAGCTAGGTCTTTGGGAGGCTTTTGGCGATCCAAGCCAAAGTGAAGTGAGGGCTTCCTCAGCCCTTCCGGTTCAGGGTTTAGAGTTTAGGGTTTAGAGTTTAGGCTTTAGAGTTTAGGCTTTGGGTTTAGGGGCGTCCATGCTCGGCCGGGCTGCTGTGAACTGAGGCCTGCTGTAAAAAGGGTTTAGGGCTTGGGGCCGAATGGCTGGACCCATATCTCGTGGTTATTGACATGGGGAAGCCTTGACATCATTCTTGGACTCTTCAGTCAGCACATGCCCGGCTCACCCAGGACGGTGATGCAACGAGTCTTGGGACGCAAGCTAGGGATGAGCTTGAGGGGGGGGGGTTTAAACCCTTAAAACCCTTAAACCCTTAAACCCTTAAACCCTTAAACCTTAAACCCTTAAACCCTTAACCCTTAAAACCTTTAAACCCTAAACCCTTAAAACCTTAAACCCGTTAACCTTTAACCTAAACTCTAAACTCTTCACCGGGGCTTGCATTCATCGAGGTTTCGGAAGGATCGGAAGGAAAGATAGCTCTGGATCCTGCAAGACTGCAACTTGAGGTGCTGGTCGTTACATACAACATCCCCAGATGAACACGGGTAGGCTTGAACATATATATATTTATATTTATTTTGTTTATTTTTCATACTCTTTTTTAAAATTGCGTAACCCTTAGTTCTTAGTTTCTAATCATTTTAACGCTCTATATTGCATTTTTGTCTAGGGCCCCCCCCCCCCCCCCCCCCCCCCCCCCCGCCAAACCTCCCAGTGAAGGTTATAAGGGGCTTTTGGAGAAGATCTGATCAGTTCCGAACCGCTCGATAGAGACATTCCGGGTTTGTTAACGCCAAAAAACCACATTTAGAGTTTTTAGGGTTTCAACAATAAGAACCCCCCTAAATGCATCTTTTTGACACTCCATCACACCGCCGTTGGGCTGTAGTGCTTTTTGGGCTTAGGGTTTTTCAGACCTGAAGGCTAAGGCCCTAAGTAAGCCCTTCAGCCCTCCTCTTCCGCGAGGAGTTTGTAAGTTGTGTGGCCAGGACTCAGAGTGGGCCCCTATTCCCTTTTTTAGGTTTCAGCTTCCCTTAGAGCAGGTCCTGGAAGACCCAAAAAATGGGCACCCTTTTAAATTCCCAGGTGGCTTTGCCAAGCCAAGCCCCAGAGCCCCAAAAAGCCGTCACTGAATTAGGGTTTAGGGTTTAGGGTTTAGGGTGCAGAAGCAGCGGGTCCAACCTAAACATTGATTTCTCTACCCCAAAAACCCTGAACCGTAAACCTTCAAGCTTAAGACCTAAACACTAAACCCTACAACTCTGAACCCCTAAACCCCGAAACCCTAAACCCTAAACCTCAAACCCTAAACCCTGCCCTTGAGGCTGGAGGCGTGGAAGTATGCCTGGGAGCGCGCGGGCTGGAGCCCAGTCTGGTTTGTTTATGTTACCCTATCCTTTTAGGGTTTATAGGGTTTAGGGTTTAGGGAGTTTGGGGGTCCTTAGGGGCTCTAGCAACCTAAATATTAGGTCCCTGGCAGAGCAGGGTTACCATTCGAATGTTTTTTTGTTAGTCTGATACGTTAATCAGACACATGTGTACGCAGATAGGTATGTACATATGGGTTGACACAAGATAGAGAGCCGAATCCTCGGGCGCAGAGAGGCGGAACTAAGTAGCGCACATGACCATCACGACTCTCAGGATTTTTTGATGGTGCAGGGAATAGCCTCCTCAAATACCGTGGATACATGTAGAAAGGTTCCTTGAACCCTAAACCCTAAACCCCTACTAATGTAGGTAACTCGCCGTCCAGGGGGCTTTAGGCTGAAACCCCTAAACCCTAAACTTTAAAACCCTAAACCCTAAACCCTAAGTTGCAAAATTGAGGACGACCCGCGTGCTGAACCTGAGCGATGCGCAGCAGTCGCCGGACTTCGAAGAGTTCAACCACACGCTTTGGACCAAGGCCCTGCCCCTGGACCCCTATGGGTGTAGGGTTCAGGGGTTAGGGTTAGGGTTTAGGGTTTGTAAGTTTGGGGTTTAGGGTTTAGGGTTCAGGGATCAATATTTGCCCTGACCTCTATGCGGGTTTGTGATGTTAGGAGGTACCTTATTGGGGACGTTACTACAAGGAGATGCGAGTATTTTGGGGGTCTATGTTGGGGTTTATCCGATTTCCGTAAACCCCCATATCGACACTTCGTTTGTTGCTGATTCATGGCCGGGGCCCTAAACTCTCAGGGTTTGGGGTTTAGGGCTTAGGGTTTAGGGTTTAGGTCTAGGCCCAAAGCCTGACGTTCTGAGTATGCCGGGGGGGAGGCACGTAGTGAGGGCCTGCACAGACCAGAGGGCGACATTGCTGTGGGTTTCGGGCTTAAGGTTCAGGATCCAAGGTTTGGAACAGACCTAAGCCCTAGGGTCTAGGGTTAGGGGGTTTAGGGTTACATAGGGTTCAGGATTCAGGGTTTCGGGGTTAGGGTTCGGAGAGGTAGGGAAAGTGACACATGATGGAACGATGTACTTTGCGCGGCCTAAACCTGTCAACTCCAAAAGGGAAGCTCTATATCCATGAAAACCCTGAGCTTGCAGTCTAGGGCACCTATAAACCACATGAAATCAGCCCCCTGCCAGACCTTTCGGCCTTGAAAGGGGCTTCAGGTTTGGGGTTTAGGGCGTCTACGTACTATAAGAGACTTAAACTTTAAACCCAGACCGCTCAACCAAAACAGGCCGTTGAAACAGAATGTGTGTGTGTGTGTGTGTAACTTCTGCCAGTACATGCAAACAACGAACAACAACAATGTGTATATATATATACACACATATACATTTGTTTTATGCACTTATTTTCATATTCATGTTATAACACATCCTATTTCGTTGCATTCTACGATCAAATTATGCCACTTTGTCCTATTATATATTATAGGTTACACTCTCTTTACAGATTTTACGATGTGTACATTTTCTGTATATATATATATAACTATCCACTTTTAGATACATATAAATACAATAAACATGAACTGCATATATATATATATATATATATCCCGAATAGCCACTTTTGGGCGTACATGTTGCCGATGAGGGTACCTGGATCCCCCCCCTCGCCGAATACAGGTGCCACTGGGCCAGGGCTACGAGCACCTGGGTTTAAGGTTTAGGGTTTAGGGTTAGCATTTGGGGTTTAAGGTTCAGGGTTTAGGGTTGAGTCAGGGTTTAACCCACGCGTCCGCGCGTTGCTTAGATAGAGAACTCATTTTTAGAGTTTGTGTGGAATTGTTGCAAGGTAAACCTCGTGAACTTGAAGTCCAGGTTTGGTCATCCTGTTGTCCCTTGATCATTTCCGGGTTTGGGCTTGCTTCTTGCTGCTGTGCCCGGCTTGAGCTCGGATTCCATGAGGTCTTTGGTTCTGGGGCGTTTCAAGTTGGTGGAATGCTGGTTTAACGAGTTCTTGAATCAGTGGTGCCCTACGTAGAACCCTGAGTAGTGTGAGGCAAAGGCCAAAAGCCTATGTGGGGTTGGTACTCGCCTGGGGTGCCTATACGCGGAGTTAGGGTTTATAGGGCTTAGGGTTTAGGTTTAGTAGGGTTCTCTCTAAGATGCTTCTCTTTTTTCATGTTGCGAGCCAGAAGTTAGGCTCGAAAACAAGTGTTGACTTTGGCTCAGGACCTGTCACGCGCCGGGGGTGTTCGAAAATGAAGGCTCTTTCTGGTATCCTGAAGATAAGTGGGTGAAGCCTAGGGTTGCTTTTTGGTGTACTGTAGGGTTTTTTCCGAGCCATGTGGAGCTCGCGTGAGTTTGCGGCTTCTCAGGTCCAGCCCGGGCGGACGAACTATAATCCGAGTCGGGATTCTGTACCTTATGCCACTGCAACCTAGGGTGCATATGAACCATAAATCACCTTTCAAGATTCATGACGGTTCATGCGGGCTCGGTTTAGGGTTTAGGGCATAGGGCCACCTTCTTCCTTGTCCCAGGTACGACTACCAGTGCTACATTCGCTATCTTGCGATGGAAATGGCGGGGGGCGGCTGGATGTCTGATTATGATGTCATCCCCACATACCTCCCACCTGATGTGGACGCTTGGCGCAAGGAATGCGATGGATTTTGGAAGGTTTTTTCTAGTTCTATGGAGGGTTTGGGGTTTAGGGGTTTAGTGAGGTTAGGGATTACCCAAACAAATATAGTTTTGCCCCAGACGCAGCAGAGGCCATGTATCTTTTCCTAGGCTGAATCCTCCCGTGGAGTCCAAACCACATTTGCATAATGAGATGATACCTCCATCATGGTCATAATAACAATACCGGCGATAATGGGCAGTTTCGTGGTTGTTCTCAAGCAGGGTGTGTGTGTGTGTGTGCGCTGCAAATTTTCGAGAGCGGAGCCGCACAGAGCCGGAGGTTGATTAGGACGCAGCTGAGCATGTCAGTAGTACATCGCACCACGCGCGAGAAGACCCTTGCGGCTTACTGCAAGATGCCGGGCAGCTGGGGTGCTTTGGAGTGGGTATCCGTAAACCCTAAACCCTAAACCCTAAATCCAAAACCTAAACCCTAAACCAAAAACCCTAAACCCTAAACCTAAACCAAAAACCCTAAACCCTAAACCCTAACCCCCCCCCCCCCCCCCCCCCCCCCCCAGCAAAAGTCGCCAAGCGACTGAGGAGCTGCCAAACAGTGGGACCTTCACCGTCTACCAGCAACATGTCCCTGCCCTCATGTCTGGCTCCAAGGCGACTTTGTCTGGCACTGTCTAGGGTTTAGGGTTTAGGTTTTAAGGTTTAGGGTTTAGGGTTTAGGGTGTAGGTTTCATCAGCATTGGGGGGAGCTCATGTTGCAATCGTTTTGAGGCCTGGAGGAAGCCAAGGCCCTTCTGAAGAAAGTTGTAGGGCTTAGGGCCCGAGACCCTGAAACTATCCGGCCCTTGTGGGCTGAAACCGCGGGGTTTAGGGTTTAGGGTTTAGGGTTTAGGGTTTAGGGTTTAGGGTTTAGGGTTTAGGGTTTAGGGTTTAGGGTTTAGGGGGTGAATCCTTGGGGGCCCCCCGGCATGAACTTTTGGGCAGCCCTGGGCCGAAGCCAATGCCATTCAGAAGCTTTTGGGGCCGTAAGGCCTGCAACTTTCCCGTCTGGGTTTCTCTCGAGCAGTGTTCGGGATCCTTTTTACTTTTTGGGTTATGGGCTTTCTTATATATGAACAGAAAGGATCCTTCTTTCCTCCTAGGGGAACAGGGATTAAGTTCTGAGGGTAGTTACATGGGCCCTTAGTCGGTAATAAGCCCCTGATACACCCCTGTATACTCTCCACAACCCAAAAGGGCCCATACTTCAGAACCCTTTTCATAGGCAAGGGACCAGTTCCCGGGCCCATCTAACTACCCCTCAGAGGCTTTGAAGCCTTCGGCCCCTTACAGGCTGAAGCCTTCCTGAATTTCCCCAAAACCACGACCCGATCCTCGGGGTTTGGGGATGAGGGTTCCGGGTTCCGGGTTCAGGGTTCCGGGTTCAGGGTATAGGGTTTGGGGTTTAGGGTTTAGGGGTTACTTGGACGTTCAGTTGGTCATTTGGGCACTTGACAAAGTCGGGTTACATGTGCCTATGGCTCTCTGAGTAGGGTTGCCTGTCAGGCGTTTTGCTTGGGGCCTCGTTTCGTAAGGTAGCCGAAAGAAAGGTTTTCGATGGAGCTGGCTTCGCATAGCTTCAGGGAGCCCACGGCGCTTAATTAAGGCCCGAAGCTTTTGGGGTTTTGGGTTTAGGGTAGAAGCTCTCCTACCTGAGTTTTCTCCCTAGACCTGTTGCGGTGTTTGCTAGCCGCTTGGTTTCCGGAGAGGTGGTCGCCTCGCATGGTCTGTTGTCGCATTGAACTTTCAAAACCCCTAAACTCTACAAGTCTTATAGGACCCCCCAACCCCCCCTCCCCCCCTCCCCCCTCCTTTTTCGGAAACCTCCATTTCAAGTTAACAGCCTCAAGCTCACAACAGCTCCTTTGGGCAGCGAAGGAGCAGTGGGGCAAGGTGGCCAGGAGCGTTTTTCGTTTGGGAGGTTTTGGGGTCTGGGAGATGTTTTCGAATTTGGAGTTTAGGGTTTAGCGTTTAGGGTTACGGTTTAGGGTTTAGGGTTTAGTTGTTAGTTGTTTAGGATTCAGGTTCAAGGGTTAGGTTTCTTGGGTGAACTAGGCCAGACGATGGGATATTTCAGGCTTTCCGAAAAGTGTTTCAAGGGCCAACCTTGCGAAGGACCCTGAACCCCCCCCCCCCCCCCCCCCCCCCAAAAAAAAAAAGGTGTACACTTTCAGTTCTATAGGGGATTATAGTACCCTCAAAAGAGTGTAAAGTGTACTCACTCAGCTACTCAGTTTTGCATTCAGACCCAAAAACTTGATTAGCTAAAGATCACGGCACCCTTTTCGTTGCAGCAGGGTTGAGGGTTTAGGGTTTAGGGCTTAGGGTTTAGGGCAAGGACTTTGAGAACCCGTCCGAGCTCACGGGGTCAAAAAAGGGTTTTAGTTATGGCTTGTAGCGCGGAGAAGGGTCGATAGGTCCTTTGGCTAACCTTTGGATAAACATGGTTCATGTTTTCACGAGCTGATTAAATGGGTCGGTGATTAAACAAAACAGTTATGTGATATAAACAATCAAGAAACATTGGCAATGTATGTACAATCAATATTATAAAAAAAAACAATCTTGAATAAGATCATATAAGTGCCGATGGGCCCATTGGTATTTACTGTACTGCAGTTTCTTGAAAGCGTGCAGTTTGTATATACAGGAATTGTGAATCTGTGATATCCATGGCTCACAAAAACACTTCCCATACTACGGGTATAGGCCCTCAGCTTCAAGGTTTTGTCAAGGCCTGCCCCGAGTCCTTGTTCGCAGGAGGCTCTTGGAGCAAGGCGTGAAGCATGGCTTCTCGACTGGGTTTCGGGTTTAGGGTTTAGGGATTAGGGTTTCGGGTTTAGGGTTTGGGGTGAGAATCGGCTTCGGCTTCGTGAGGAGCTTTGGGGGGGGGGTTTCGGTTGAGAACCCTGGGTGGCAGGCAGTGGTGAGTCCTGCTCAGCCAGGGTTTAGGGTTTGGGGTTTAGGGTTTAGGGTTTCGGGTTTGGCTTCTGAACATGGAGGCCCAGTTCTGGTAAACCCTCAAACGTAGCACTTTGAGCACCCAAGGGCTGAAAGTCATTCAGGGGGCCCTGAACCCTAAGCCCTAGCCCTAAACCCTAAACCCTAAACCCTAAACCCTAAACCCTAAACCCTAAACCCTAAACCCTAAACCCTAAACCCTAAACCCTAAACCCTAAACCCTAAACCCTAAACCCTACACCACGAGGCTCTCCGGGGCATCTTCGGGATCAGCTCTTCTCCGATATGCACTCCATGGAGGCAGGGGCTGGGTTTAGGGTTTAGGGTTTAGGGTTTAGGGTTTAGGGTTTAGGGTTTAGGGTTTAGGGTTTAGGGTTTAGGGTTTAGGGTTTAGGGTTTAGGGTTTAGGGTTTAGGTTAGGGTTTAGGGTTTAGGGTTTAGGGTTTAGGGTTTAGGGTTTAGGGTTTAGGGTTTAGGGTTTAGGGTTTAGGGTTTAGGGTTTAGGGTTTAGGGTTTAGGGTTTAGGGTTTAGGGTTTAGGGTTTAGGCTGACTATCAGAGCTACGTGGAGGCGAATTTGGGGTACTTATAGCCTAGGGGTTTAGGGTTTAGGGTTTAGGGTTACAATGGTTAACAAAGACCTTGTTTAGGATACTTAGAACGCTACTTCTAAGTCACCACCCTCCAAGTACTGTATGGCACGAAAGAGTCCAAAGCTTCGCTCTACGAACCCTAAGCCACCTAAGAATCCAGGGTGCCTTTCCATCACCCCCCCCCCCCTGAAATCGAACCCTCAGCCTGAAACAAAAGTTCGTGGCCACCTTAAACCCGAAAACCTAAACCCTAAACCCCAAACCCTAAACCCTAAACCCTAGAAAATCCGCACAGGAGTGGGGGAGTCGGAACCGGCCGAACGCGCGTGTCGGGTGAACTTGAAAGAACGCCCTGGGTTCTTGCTAACTTGGTAGCCCAGTGGTACCCTTTACCCTTTTTTTGGGTTGTGGGTCCCTTATAAAGTAGCCAAACCAAAAAGGGGTTTAGGGTTTAGGGCTTTATGCCTGGATGCAAAAATGGTTACTAGGCTATCAAGCTAAGGATCTCCTACAGAGTTGCTATGAGAATGATGGGTTCATCGTTTGCATCCTGACGTTCTTGTTCTGGTAACTTCCTAGTACTTGAAGCAATTCATCTGATTCCCTTGCTGTTGTAACTTCTGCTTGAAGTTCCTTGTAACAAAACTCCTTAACCCTCAAACCCGTTCCTCAAAACAAGAACCCGGCCCTAAACCCTAAACCCCAAACCCCAAACCCCAAACCCTAAACTCGAAACCCTAAACCCCAAACCCTAAACCCTAAACCCTAAACCCCAAACCCTAAACCCGAAACCCGAAACCCTAAACCCTAAACCCTAAACCCTAAACCCTAAACCCTAAACCCTAAACCCTAAACCCTACACCCTACACCCTACACCCTACACCCTACACCCTAAACCCTAAACCCTACACCCTACACCCTACACCCTAACACCCTACACCCTAAACCAAAAGAGGCTCTGGAGATGCAGCCGCAGCGGGAGTTCATCTTCATCAACGTCATCGCCGATGCCCACGACTTCTGGAAGCACTTGGAGGTTCATGGTACCTATTAACAAACCATAACAGGGTTTAGGGTTTAGGGTTTAGGGTTTAGGGTTTAGGGTTTAGGGTTTAGGGTTTCGGGTTTAGGGTTTAGGGTTTAGGGTTTAGGATCTACTTGGAGGTCCAGCGTACTTACTAACCAATGATAGCTGTACTTTTTACCCATTTATCAGCCCCTGAAGTGCCCGAATATGGTGAATAAGTACAGTTGTAAGTACAGCTATATTAGGTTAATAAGTACCATGAACCTTCAAGCAGAGCATGTTCGAATAGGGATTGGGGTTTTTGGGGTTTTAGGGTTCAGGGTTTAAAGTAGATTTTAGGGTTTTAGGGTTTTAGGGGTTTAGGGTACATTGGGGTCGGGGGGGGGGGGGGGGGGGGGGGGGGGGGGGGGGGGGGGGGGGGGGGGGGGGGGGGGGGGGGGGGGGGGGTGGATAGCTTTCTGAGCGTGTCTGGGGTGTGACTTACTCTGTATATTGGCATCCTCACATCGCACAGGGACCTTCAACAACCTAGGCCTTCGCAGCTAATTAGTTTCCAGCCCTCCACTCAGCTAGGAGGGAGGCGAAAACAATTTCAACCGCCTGAGCCCCTACACCCTAAACTCTACACTCTAAACCCTAGTTCCAAGGAATGGAAGGATCTTCTGAATCCGCGCTGTGCACCTTGGGATGTATGACAAAGTGTCGGGTCGGGGGCCTGGGAGGCTGGTTTCAACACCGTGTTTGGGGTTGTAAAGCAAAGTTTCGGGTTTTGGGTTTAGGGTTCAGGGCTTAGGGTTTAGGGTTTAGGGTTTACGGCGGCCAGAAGTACCGCGATTGTTGTTCAGCCACTGGGCTGCGTTGAAGAAGATCTTGATGCAGCACACGAGGGATCCCAGGGTTCGAGGGGAGTTTAGGGTTTCGGGTTTGGGGTTTAGGGTTTAGGGGTTCAAGTTTCGGGTTTGGGTTACGGTTTAGGGCTTGGAAACCCTTAAGCCTAAGTTCGAACACCAGCCTGCTCTGCGTGCAAGAAGCCTAAACCCTAAACCCTAATCCCTAAACCCTAAACCCTAAACCCTAAACCCCAGGAGGTGATCCAGAAACGGATGACCCTGGCCATACACTTCGCGCATTCCGCGCTGGATAAAGCAGGCACCATGGCAACCTCGGGCTTCCAGCAAAAAGGGGGGGGGGGGGGGTTAGGGTTTAGGGTTTAGGGTTTAGGGTTTAGGGTTTCGGGTTTCGGGTTTCGGGCTTGGGGTTGAGGGTTTTGGGTTTAGGGTTTAGGATACAGTTCTGGAACAGGAGACCTTGTGCAATATAAGCTTTGCTTTTCGTTGCAAAATGTCTTTGCAGTTTTCTTTTTGGCGGGACCTGCCTCGGGCTGGATGTGATGCAGACTTTCTCCGACTTCTATTTACAGTTCGGCTTCGTCTTCATTATTTTTAGAACCATTAGAAGAGGCATACATATGGAACTACATAGAATTCCAATGTGAGCGCCTGCCGGCGCCTGCCAGAATTATGTTTGTCCAGCCAGTACTACGGTGGACACGAGTTGTTACGAACATCAGTAAACCCTGGAGAGCGATATGGGCCCCACCTAGAGCGAGAACATTAGTTTGCACATTCAGACAAATGGGTCCCGCAGTCCCATAATATGTAAAGCGATATGGGCCCCACGTAAAGCGATAACATGGTATTCCGCGACCTTTCACCGTCTAAAGTGATTTTGTCCCTCGCTCATGTGAGGATTGATCTCGTTTGTGTATTCTTATTCATTCTTCTGAACTTGTAAGACCTCTCAAGACCTTTAGCAAAAATATAACATACGTGTTGAAAGACAAAATATTCGTAGATAGCTCATACTCATTAACTAGGGGGGGGGGGTCTTCACACACAGTATGTTCAGACCCAGGGTTTGCTTTCACGGGCAGCCCCCCCGCCCCGAAGACATCCCCAGTATCGTGGGAATCTCGTGAGGGTGTTTTTGTGGGTTTCGTTTGTTGATTTTTGCTTTAATGGGGGGTGTGGGGGGGGGGTTGGGAGTCGGAAGAGAAGCCAAAACCCTGAAAACCTTATGTAGGAAAAGAAAACCCTTCTAGGATTTTGCCTCTTAAGGTAAGCCCTCCATCCCTTAAACCCGGAACCCTATCCCTAAACCCTAAAGCCGAAGCCCTAGACCCTGTAACCCGGAACCCTAAACCCCAAGCCCTTCATCGAGGCGTGGGTATCAAGCGGCGAGGGGTGGTCATGAGAAAGGGCGCGGACCGTTGGTGGACTCCCGGCCATCCTTTTGGGGGCGTTTAGGGTTTAGGGTTTAGGGTTTAGGGTTTAGGGTTTAGGTGGGGTTTAGGTCTTGGGGCTTAGGGTTCAGCATCTCGCGTTTTTTGGCTTCGGCTAGTGGTCACGGGGAATGCCTCAAGCGTGGCCGGCCTCCCAGGTCGGTGGATGTTGAATTGGGAAGCCGGACGCACGTGACAGGAAGTCCCTAAACCCTAAACCCTAAACCGTAACATGCAGGAATCTTATCAGGGGTTCGGCAGCGCGAGCCCACGCGAAGGCAAGGTGTTGGCTTCTTCCAGCGGGGGTGTTCATCGGACCTGTCCGAGATGGGGTGTGCGATGCGAAATCCTGCAGCCTAAGCCTGAAACACTCGACCCTATACCCTAAACACGAAGTCCTCGCCCGGAGATGCCTGAGGCAAGCAGGGCATCTTCTGCTTTTTGCACACATGTGTTCCGGGGAAAACAAAATGAAATTGGGATGACACATGTTTGGCCCTGCTTGTGTGGAAGAGGATGATACCCCCAAAAAGCAAGATTGTTCACAGGGACGGGTTTTGGATTTAGGGTGCTCGTTGCAGTTTAGTCTTGTAACTTAGTCTTCAGGGCGGGTTTGAACATAATCTCTAACTTTACTAACCTTAGTCCCCTGCATAATCCTTACGAAGCCATAAGAGTCTAGACTTTACAGGGCCTCCAAACCTACCCTAGTATTTTGGGACACTTACCTGCTATTCCATGGGGTTGGAGGTGTAGGGTTTTGCCTTGAGCAGCTTAGGCAATGTCATGGCCTTGACACCAGCTTGCTGCTTGGAACGCCTAGCCCTAAACCCTAAACCCTAAAGCCTAAACCCTAAACCCTAAACCCTAAACCCTAAACCCTAAACCCAAACCCTAAACCGGAAAACCCTAAGCCCGAAACCAAGGTTTGGAGGTACCCGGGAGTGTTGGGGCTGCAGTTTCTGGGTGCAGACTTTGAAGGCAAAGTGTCCGGAAGAGCGCAATATACACGCCTACCTAAGGTCTAGCTGGTTTAGGGTTTAGGGTTTAGGGTTTAGGGTTTAGGGTTTAGGGTTTAGGGAGTGTGCAGAACGTACTCCTGCAGGGGACTCTGCAGGTCTTTGGTACCAAAAGCTGCGAACTGGGAAGACATCTCCTCTTGGCAGCCCATTGCTGCCCTGTTCCCTTTGTATTTTAGGTTCGAGGTTACCCTGCAAAGTGACCCTAAACCCTAAACCTTGAACCCTAAACCCTGAACCCTAACCCTAAACCCTAAACCCTAAACCCTAAACCCTAAACCCTAAACCCTAAACCCTAAACCCTGAACCAAACAGAGGCATTCCAGCAGCAGCACCCAAGGTTCACCACCTCCTCGACGACAGTGGTGAGCATTGAAGGTCCATCGAGGTCCTGGCCCCAAACAGCAACCCTGAGGACCACATGAACCTTAGGGTGTAGGGTTTAGTGTTTAGGGTTTGGGGTGTAGGGTTTAGGGTTTAGGGTTTAGGGGGCCACATGAAGCTATGAAGGCCAGATGAACCAAAACCCCTTTTCAGGGCTGACTTGGTTTTCAATGTCTTCGGCGGCAGTTGTCCACAATCCCTGTCTTGCCAAGGCCCTGTTTCAGGGCACCGACGGAAAGAGCCCACAACCTACAGAACTGACCATCTCTTGCGATTGAAAGGCCCACGTATTTTAGGAGCTTACAGCCTTCGATCTCAAATCCTTACATTTCAAGCCTCAACGCCAGTGGCCCAGGCACCCCAAACCACACGGTAGCGGTCTTTAGCATAAAGCAAGAGCTGTAGGTTGTGCTGAACCGTGGTCCCTCTTCATGGCACCCCAAACGTGAGCATCCCTGAACCCTAAACCCTAAACCCTGAACCCTAAACCCTAAACCCTAAACCCTAAACCCTCAACCCTAAACCCTAAACCCTAAACCCTAAACCCTACACACCCGAAACTCACATGATGGCTGCTGGCCTGGCAGTTCCTCTGAAGCCCCGGCCAACACCGGGGTCCCGGCCGGGCCCGTGGATTGGCGATTTGGGCCGCCAGATGCAATTAGGGTTTAGGGTGTAGGGTTTAGGGTTTAGGGTTTAAGAAGGGGTGTAAGGCTTTGGGTTTGGGGTTGGAGGTTGTAGGGCGTGCGAACAGGCTGCCCGCAAGAGACCTGGGCTGCAAAGGGGCGTGCCACACTGAAGCCTGCTTTGAGAGCGTGCTCCCATCCGTGGACCTACACGCCAAGATCCCTAAACCCTAAACCCTGAACCCTAAATGGTTGTTTATCTCGCATCTGTTTGTTCTACAACCCCTCAGGTTTCGGTGTCGGGTAAACCCTAAGGCTAACCCTCGAAGCTCTAAGGATCTGAAAATCTTAAACGCTACAATTGACAAGCCTGGAGTTTAGGGTTTAGGGTTTAGAGCCCACAAGTCTTTTCAGGGTAACCTACGCAAAGAAAGGCTCGAAGGCTTCCTCGTTTCAGGAGTAGGGTTTAGGGTTTATATAGGGTTTAGGATTTAGGGTTTAGGGTTTAGGGTTTAGAGGGCCCGGACCCAATCCACAGCCGAGCAAGGGTCGGCGGCAATGCCAGCTTCCAGCTCCTCTACTCGCCGAGCAGCAGGTTAGAAGCGGCCTGCACTGCCCCGGCCTCAGAAGGGAGTGCGGGGGGTTTAGGGTTTAGGGCTTAGGGGAGCGCAGGGCGAGGGGGGGGGGGGGGGGGGGGGGGGTTTGCAGCCTGAGCTGCATGTGCACGCGGTCTGAGTCTTGCGCTTTTCCCTTTCTGGGCACCGTAGTTCAAGGGGGCCGTCGTTTTCGTTCTACGGACCCGACACACACGCCCAAACGTCGAGAACTTGGCGAGTATATTGGGGATCCTGACTCCCTAGTCGCCCTAGTCCCCCAAAATCCCCTGAACATGGATGTAATCAACCGGTTCGATCATAACCGATATATTACCGATTGTTACTCCATAAAGTATTGGTAGCATTGATGGGAACGGTTCGGTTCGATGTTCGATTTCTAGTGGTAAGTGATCGATAGAGGCGTGCTATACCATTAGGCCATAGCTGGGAATGAGGTTCTTTACAGCATAAGGAAGCCCTCACGCAGATCCTTTTTGAACCCTCAACCCCAAGCCCTTAAATTTGATGCTTCCGGGTTTTGTGGGATATGGGTTTGGGATCTTGGGGAGTTGTTGGGGCTTCGGGTTTTTCGGGTTTGAAGGTTGCAAAGGTAGTGAATCTCTCCACCCTAAGCCCTAAGCACAAAAACCCTGCAAAGCCCTGAATGCAGCTATGCGGTTCGTCACAAAAACGCGCTGAACCCTAAACCCTAAACCCGAAACCCTAAACCCTAAACCCTAAACCCTAAGCCCCAACCCAAAGGTGCTAAATCAGCTGGGGAAGCTGCGCTGCTTGGGGGAACTCAACTGCTCCTCGGACGTCACCTGCGACAGGCCGGGTCATGGTGTTGAGGTTTAGGGTTTGGGTTTAGGGTTTAGGGTTTAGGGTTTAGGGTTTAGGGGTTAGGGGTTTAGGGTTTAGGGTTTAGGGTTTAGGGTTTATGAGGGTTTGGTTTGTAGGGTTATGGGGTTTGTAGGGTTTATGGGTCTGTTATAGGGTTTTAAAGGTTTTCAAGGTTTATAGGGTATGTGGGGCTTATAGGGTTTAGGACAATCGTCTGGGTTCAAAATCAAAGGGGGGCTTGGGTAGATCCTCGAAAAGTCCCAGCCAAGAACTTGCATGCAACAACAGAGCAGCAATAGTTCTAAAGCCGCAAGAAACTAAGCTTCCCATAGAACCGAACTAAACAAACTATTTATAGTTCCCCCCGCCGCTGTGTTCTGTACAAACAAAAAACTTAAACCCTACAAGGGAAATATGCTGGAATAACGTGCTTGTTGTGAGGACTGCCTCCGCACGCCGACATTCATGCCCCCACCCCCCCCCCCCCCCCCCCCCACACCCCGAAGACCCACTGAATGATGTCCTCTAAAACCATTAACCTGAAACACGATTTGCTTAAGACACCCCCCCCCCCCCACAAAAAAAAAGAGATATCAAATGGAAGATAATACTCCCTATATTGCCCTGAGAAGGGAGAATGAGTAGATGAATTGATAATATGTATATCTATCTATCTATCTATATATATATATATTTATTTATTTATTTATTTATTGGTTTATATGTATTTATACATATAAATAAATAAATATATATATATATATATATTATTTATTTATTTATTTATGTATATACACACCTTGTTTTGTTTTTTTTTTGGGGGGGGTTCTTAAGCATTTAGTATATACAATATCTAGGACGTAATATTTAAGCAAGGATCCGGAACTTACGTAGATTCGACCGTTCATGTTCGGCGGCAGGGTTTAGGGTTTAGGGTTTAGGGTTTAGGGTTTAGGGTTTAGGGTTTAGGGCTTGGGGCTTCTCATCCAAAGTTGGGTCATCACAGCAACTGCAGTGTTCAATGCGGCCAACTAGTATTCGCATCAGACAGGCGACAGCCACGTGGAAGCTTCTCTAGGATGCCCAGTCGTACCCTTATGCCCTTTTTGGGGGGGTTTAGGTTCCCTTCTAAACCCCTCTAAGCAAAAAAGGGGCACCCTTTTTAAGCCTTGGTTACTGGGCAGCCTAGTTCCCACCCTGAACGAAACCGGGTTCTGGGACGACTCAAAGCCCCGGGAACGAGATGACTGAGTAGCTGAGTGAGTACACTTTACACTTTTTGGGATACCATAATCCCCTAGAGAGAACTGAAAGTGTACACTTTCTGGGGGGCTTCTGAACTCGGCAACTAAGATGACCACGTAAGAGGTGAATTGCATGAAGGCCGCATGGCTCGTTCTGGAAATTTGGTTTCTCTCGGATTGACTTCTCACGTTCACTGTTTTTGCTTGTATGTCAGATATACATCCTCGCGGTTGCAAGAGTTTTATAGAGTTCCTAGAAAAGGGGGTTCTTGGGGGGTAGGTACCTGGGGAACCTTATAAAGGATGCTCAGGAAGCTCAGGGAGCCTTTGGGAGTAGTAGGGAGTATTAGGGAGCCTTGGGTTACATATCGCCCTCGAACCCCTCTCCCTTCAGAACCCTATAAGAGTCGAATGTCTCCCTGACCTCCCACGTATCGCGCGTTCGCCGTTTCCTGCCTTGCAGTGTAGCTTTGAGCAGAAATAGGGTTCTTAAGGCAGGGGGCTTCATGGGCAGTAGGTAGCTAGGGAACCTTAGGGAAGCTTAGGTGGGGAGTATTGGGGAACCTTAAGGGTTACATGCCCCCGCTGAACCCCCCTCCCTCTTCTAGGAAGTGCTTGACCCGCCGCCCCCGGCCAGGGATTCGATGTATCTCACGCTCCCGGTCTGCGCTGGCGCGTTGCGGTTTAGGGCAGGGTTTGGGGTTGACTTGCAGGTTCATGTGGGCACGTGGAAGTATAGGCTACATGATCACCACAATTATACCCTACCTAGAACCCTACTTCTAAGTACCCTAAACCCTAAACCCTAAACCCTAAACCCTAAACCCTAAGGAACCTCGAAGTAGGTGGGGCTCAGTGCTGCGGCCACGACCATCCGTCGGATCACGGCTTGGGGGACTCTGAACCCAACCCCCCCCCCCCCCCCCCCCCCCCCCCCCCCAATCCACAGGTTTCGAAGCTGGAGAGTTGCTAGCTCATTCCGCCACATCCGCCACTTTCCAGGGATCGCTCCGCCGCCATGCCGTTCCCTAAGGATCCATGTACCCATATAGTATACTTGGGCCTTAAAAGGGGTTCCCATATAGCAGCTTTAGGGGCCAAGTATTTACCACATAGGTACATGGACCCTGATTGCGACCCTTTGAGTATCTTACGGCCGCTAGAAGCCCTACAAGGCCCCTTCAACTCCAAAACCCTTAGAGAGGCTTAGGGTTCAAGGCTTTCGTTGGTTCAGTTTGTTCTTCGTTGTTGGGTCGGTTGCCTGCCAGCTTGTTGGGGACTTCGGCACATGGGTGGTGAGGATTTGAGAAAAACAAAACCTTGCTCCTGAGCTCCCGGAAGATTAGCCTGCAGTTCCCCTGAAGCCTGGGCCAGTCATCAGCTTAAGCCCTAGCCCTAAACCCTAAACCCTAAACCCCAAGAGCCCCGCCCAAGGAACATCGGCAACAGCACGGGCTGCCAACCATCCTGGCCGGCTTTGCCCACGCCGGAAGAAGTGAAAGCCGAAGCCAGGCTTCCGTGCAATCCCTGCCTTTCGGGTTTGGGGTTTGGGGTTTAGGGTTTAGGGTTTAGGGTTCAGGGTTTAGGGTTTAGGGCTTAGGGTTTAGGGTGAACAGTCGGGTTGAGGGTTTAGAACCCCCAAAGCAGACAATTCTGAACGTCACAGTACCTAAGAAAGCAATACGGGGTATGATGTACATACACACATGCATGTACATACATTCACCATATGGCTCCGTGTCCCGTGTCGGTACCCCCCAAATTCTTTCCCAGCCCCGCCCCCCTGTGGTTTGGGCCCCCCTGTGGGGTGGTGTGGTTGGGGTTTGGGTTTAGGGTTTGGGGTTTAGGGTTTTGGGTTTGGGGTCCCCGCCCCGCCCCTCTGTGGTTTGGGCCCCCCTGTGGGGTGCTGTGGTTGGGGTTTGGGGGGTTTAGGGTTTAGGGTTTAGGGTTTAGGGGGGGTGGGTGGGGGGGGGGGGGGGGGGGGGGGGCAGCGACGCTGCACCATATATACATATATGCATATATACATATGTAGATATGTATTTATGCATACGTATATTCGTATGCATACATACGTACATACATGCATACATACATACATATATACCCACATACATACATGCATACATACATGCATACATACACACATACACGCAAACATACAACCATACAAACATACAAACATACATACATAACATTACACTACACTACACTACACTACATTACATTACATTACATTCCATTGCATTACATTACGTTACATTACATACATGCATGCATACACACATTTTTTGGGGGGTGGAGCGAGTGCTTTACAAGTTCTTCGTTTTAAACGCGTAGGCGCAACTTCGAGGTTCCCAGCATCAAAATCATCGGGTCTTGGGGGGGGTTAGTAATGCAGGGTAGATTGATTTCGAACTATAATCGAGAAGCCCCGTAAACCTCCTATACCCTACAGAGATTAGGATGGTTTTTGCGAGTCGGTTAGGCTCTTGGCGGTTAACAGGGAGAAAATTGAGAGCGACAGCAAGCTGGAGAAGCAGGGCTTACGTCCTGGAGGCGGTTAAGCCACAAAGTTTTTTGTTTGGTTGCCTTCTGCTGAAGAAACATGCTCTTCTGGTGCTGGGCAGCAAATCGTTTCTTCCTCCCCACACAGCTACGCAAGCGGTAATTCATATTCCCCTAAGCCCTATTATGCTGGGGGTTTATGCCTTGCATTCTGGGGTTCTCACCTACTATTCTGTATGGTTTGGGAGTCACAGGTAGTGGAAGGTTTAGGGTTTAGGGTTTAGGGTTTAGGGTTTAGGGTTTAGGGTTTAGGGTTTAGGGTTTAGGGTTTAGGGTTTGCCCTATGCTCAGGGGTGAGGGCTTACGGGGTTGCAAAAGTCCCCCCGCAGGCTCGATGCAAGACATGAGCACAAGTTGGCCTTCCCGGGCTCTCTCCACAGCAACAGAACCTGTAAAGCCAGGCACCTTCCGTTCCCCCTAAACCCTGTAAACCCTAAACCCACAACCCTCTCTTGAGAACCCCAAACCTACTTTTTTGCAACGCTTCGTAGTATCTTTTTAGAAAATACTGACTTTCTTACTATGACTTCATATGTTTCCATATGTTTCGTCATGGCTATGCATGCTGGGTTCCGAAGCCAGCCACGCCGCCCACAAGACAATCGTCTTCACCCCATCACCTCATTACTAAACCCTAAACCCTATGCCCTAAACCCTAAACCCTAAACCCTAAACCCTAAACCCTAAACCCTAAACCCTAAACCCTAAACCCTAAACCCTAAACCCTAACCCATCGCACACTGAGTCCGCAGGCTGCAAGCCGGGACGGGGCCCCGGGTGTAGAGCTGTTGGGGTGACAGCGTGTTAGTGTTTTCGGGGCTCCCAACTGCAAAAAAAGGTTTAGGGTTTAGGGTTTACGAACAAAAGCGCGCTCGGCAAGAAGCTGCCTCTGAAATGCGGATTGGCTTCCCGGACCCCAAAGTAAGAATCCCGAAGCCCTGGAAGCCTGAGATTTCTCGCAGGCTGGGGCTGAAGGTTTAGGGTTTAGGCCTAGGGTTCAGGGGTTTAGGGTTTAGGGTTTAGGGTTTAGGGCGAGGGGCATATGCCTCTACAGCCTCTACACCAGGCTCTTCCTGCAGCAATCTCTGGGCCGCGTCGTGGTCTTGCTCCGGGTGGCCTGGATGCTCTTCGCCACTTTAGGGTATAGAGTTGAGGGCTTTGGGTTTAAGGCTTTAGGGTTTTAAGTATTCTGGGTGATTGGCTCTCGCAGTCCAGATGCAAATAAAGGCTTTTAGGGTTTAGGGTTAACATGACATTACAAAAGTAGGGACCTTTTCTTAAGAGAAAGTTGCTTTCCCATTTGTGCGAAGCATCAACCTGTCTCTGGGGTTTGGGGTTTGCCCGGAAGCCCTCGGGCCTTACACCTAAGTCTCCAGACCTCAGGGTGTGGCGGTTTCGGGGCCCTGAACCTTTAGGGTCGGGTTTGGGGTTTGGGGTTTGGGGTTTGGGGTTTGGGGTTTGGGGTTTAGGGTTTAGGGTTTAGGGTTTAGGGTTTAGGGTTTAGGGTACCCTTTGACCCCTGCCGCCACGAGACAAGGCACAGAATAGGCTGGTTATGCCGGTTATGCCTAGTTTGGCCCCTGTCTCGGGTTCGGTTGAGGGGGGAGGTCGCCCTACACGCAAATCTTTACAAGCCCTTAACGCTGAACTGTCCTGCAGCCTGAGAATAAGAAGATGGGCCTGCCCTAGACGTTTAGGTAGGCTGGGCCGGGGTGGAAGCTCTTAGGGGCAAGGGGGCATTCTTGGTAAAACCCGAAAACCCTAGTATAACCCTACATAAACCATAGAAATCTTATGAAGTAGGTTCGGCCTCAGCTGCTTGTCCGGAACACCGGGGCGGGTTTGGTCTCTCAGCGCCAGCGGTTGCTGCCAGGACCCCCGTGACATCGTGCTCTCCACCTACGGGAGAGCAGGAAGCACCCGGCTGATGACATGCATGAGCTGTCTGGGCCCATCTGACCTGGTTGATGCCTTGCTAGGGTCCATAGGGCTTAGGGTTGTTCCAAGTCACTCCTGCATCGCAGAATGCACCTTTATTCATCCTACTCCGAAGCCTTTTGCCCTGAACCCCAAAAGCTCTGTTCAAGATACATCTTCGGTATCGGGGCTCCCTGAATCCCGAGGAGCCAAAAACCCAGATTGTCCGGACAAGGCGCTGTTTGCGCTGAGGCGCCGTGTGTGGAGTGTTGGGGGCTCGCGGGCGCGTGATTTTCTTACCACGCATCCCAAACATGGCTTGGGTGCGAAAGAAAAAACCTTGGATTCGGTGCTAAAACACGCCAGACTTGCCGAAACCGACACCAGAGACCAAGCCCGAGAAACTGCCGAGGCTTCTCATAAGGCCGTTTAACCCTAAACCCCAAACCATGCACTCTAAACCCTATAAACCCTAAACCCGACAACCAGGCCCAAGACCCGCTAAAACCCCCCCAGGCACATACAGCCTGTGTCGCGCTGGATAAACTTGCGACACCGACTGGTCACACGGCTTCGTGAGATAGATCCGACGCGCGCGGCCGTCCTCTTCTTTGAGGACCCTGCTTGAAGGTTCATGGGTACTCTTAAGGTTAGAACTACCCCAAGTAAGGCTATAGCCATAGATACCCTCCTTCTCACCCTGCTTGTAAGCAGCCACGAACTCCTCCACAAGTGCTTGTGAGGGTGAGTGGCGCGACGGGGGTTGATACCGGAAGCGAGCCACGAGTCCTGAGCTTCCACGGCCGGCACGTTGCCTTAAACCCTAAACCCTAAACCCTAAACCCTAAACCCTAAACCCTAAACCCTAAACCCTAAACCCCCATGTCTCTTGTTTTTTCATGCCGGCCGGCCTCCGACCAGTGACTTGCATGGGTTTAGGACTTAGGGTCCCTGAATCCTGTAAACCCTAGATGCCCTCATTCTAAACCCTAAACCCTAAACCCTAAACCCTAAACCCTAAACCCTAAACCCTAAACCCTAAACCCTAAACCCTAAACCCTAAACCCTAAACCCTAAACCCTAAACCCTAAACCAACCGGTTAGAGATGGTAAGAGGACTTCTTCACCAACACCAGCAGCATGGTCCGGTCAATGGCCCTGTTCATGGGCGTGCAGGCTTGCCCCCCAAAGAGCCTTTGCCGGTTTAGGGTTTAGGGTTTAGGGTTTAGGGTTTAGGGTTTAGGGATGTTCAAAAGGGTTTAGGGATATTCCCCCTTATACTGGCAGTCCTTATTAGGGATTGCAGTACCCCCTATGATCATCCCCATTAAGGACGGTTAGCTCCCATTCGGATCCTTTTGCTGAGTTTTTTTGGCTGACCTACTCTTTCACATAAGAATGAGGTAACGCCCCAAAAAACAAACAATAGCGTGCCCAGGTAGGATTGATTCATGTCAGGAATGGTTCCGCAGATGTTAGGGAGGCGCTTTGCATACCGAACGCCGTTCTTATCAGGGCAAGCCCTTTCCATCCTTCTACCTCTAAACCCCAAACTCTCACCCAAAACCCGGAACCCCCAATGAGGCCGCAACCCCCGCGACTTGCAGGTGTCGATTTCGATGCTGAAGTCGCTGAGCGATGCAACCCGACCCTGCCTGTCTTGCAGGACTTAGTTCAATTGAGGGAGGTTGAAGTGTTAGGGTACCCTGAGCTCTTGAACTATTGAACAACTAAACCCTAAATAAAGCCCCACCCAAAATATCCTAAACCCCCGAACCCTAGCAATCTTTCCCATGAGCCGGCGGAGCCCCTCCACCTGAACCCTGAACCCTAAGCCCTAAGCCCGAAACCCTAAACCCTAAACCCTAAACCCTGTGTGGCTTGTCTGCTTGGCGGGCAGCCAAAAAACCCTGTAAACCCGAAGGGCGCAAGCATGGTTCCAGGGCTTGGGTTCACCATCGCGCTCAGATGCAGGTGTTTGGGGACGTCGTACAGTGCAAAAAAGAAGGTTTGGGGTTTTGTGTGTGTGTGTGTGTTTATTTTCCGGGGGGGGGGGGGGGGGGGGGGGGGGGTACCCCTCCACCCCCCACCCCCCAACCCCCCACCAAAGAAAAAAAAAACCTCAACCCTAACCGTCGTTGGCTCATTGATCCAAGGTGGCCAAGGTCACCAGCGACAATACAACAGGCCTGCGCGCCTCCGAACCCTTAACCTTGGGGGATCTTTCTTGGGGTTAGGGTTTGGGATTCGGGGTTTGGGGTTTGGGGTTTAGGGGTTGGGATGTTCCCCCTTATGCTAACAGTCCTTAGTAGGGATTATCATAGGGTCGGGGCGGGCAGCAAAGAAGAAGTTGCGAGCGTCGTTGCCGAGATGGGTTGCCTCCTATTTGGGCTTGCGAAGCCTCTGATCTAAACTTAAGCTATTCACGTTTGGGCCCGTCTCCTTTTGGGGCACCTATATATATATATATATACACCTCCATCACACCAAAAACATTGCTAGAACCCAGAGTAGGCCCTGACACCTTTTTTGGGGGGCGTTTAGGTTCCCTTAAAAGGTCCTTTGAACCAAAAGAGGCCCCCCCCCCCCCCTGCCCCGGCCCCATAAACAAAAAACAAGCGGAGCTGCAAATCGAGGTCTAGGTTTCCCCTGAAAGCAACCATCCTTCGTAGCGTATGCGCTGCAGCTGTACTGTACCTAGTACCTGCAACTGACTATTCACGGCGTGTGCGAGTGGCGATAGTCAGAACAGTCGACGTCCTCTGAGTTCGGCCCCTCTAATCGTCACCCTGTACCCCCTGTCATGTCAAATCCAAACCGTGCTCCCAGATGGGCACCGAGTATACAGTGGGCTTTTGTATTTGTTGGCACCCCCAAACAAGACCATGTTTTTGTTTTTGAACCGTCTACGATCATCTACATACTAATGGTTTCAGGGACCTGGAGGGTAATTATAGGCAGGATTATATGGAGGTATGCAGAACGGCTTACCAACCCTAAACACCAAAATGATACGCAAAACTTTTAAGGCCTAAGCTCGAAAACTCCCTCAATCCTATGGCCCTAAACCCCAAACCCTAAACCCGGAACCCCCGTTCCAGACATCTTGGGAGGAACCTTCGCAGAGTCTCAGGCATCCGAAACTCCCTCAACCCTCTGACGCTGAGCCCTAACCCCTAAATCCTAAGCCTCGAAACGCTAAGTAAATCCTAAACCCTAAGCCCCTTCCCTGAACCCTCACCCCTTCAGGCAGAAGCCCGGAGCTCCCTCAGCCCTTTGATAACCCTCCCCCCCCCTTTAAAGGTGTGCATGGCTTCTGAAACCCCTAAACCCTGAACCCTATAGCCCTAAACCCTAGCCCTAAACCCTAAACCCCCCCCCCCTTGCCCACCCTGAAAGGCGTGCGTTTCTGCCTCGCCGCCTCGGCCGTGCCCGATCACATTGGCGCGGCCATGACGCGGCGCATGCAGCGGGCGCTGAGTCCCACTCTGTGGGAGAGAGCCTGGGGCGAGGTTTAGGGTTTAGGGTTTAGGGTTAGGGTTTAGGGTTTAGGGTTTAGGGTTTAGGGTTTAGGGTTTAGGGTTTAGGGTTTAGGGTTTAGGGTTTAGGTTTAGGGCTTAGGGCTTAGGGTTCATAGGGTTTTGAGGGTTTATAGGGTTTATAGGGTTTATAGGGTTTAGAGGGTTTATAGGGTTTCATAGGGTTTATAGGGTTTATAGGGTTTAGAGGGTTTATAGGGTTTATAGGGTTTAGAGGGTTTTTTTGGGTTTAGAGGTTTTTTTTGGGTTTAGAGGGTTCATAGGGTTTATAGGGTTTATGGGGTTTATAGGGTTTATAGGGTTCATAGGGTTTATAGGGTTTATAGGGTTTTTTTGGGGTTTATAGGGTTTTTTTAGGGTTTATCGGGTTTATAGGGTTCGGGGGTTTTCTGTAGGGTTTACTCAGCCACTCTTTGGAAGTGAGCCTGGGCAGCCTGGGGCAGTTGTTAGCCGTAGGGTTTAGGGTTTCAGGGTTTAGGGTTTAAGGGTTTAGGGTTTAGGGTTTAGGGTTTAAGGGTTTAGGGTTTAGGGTTTAGGGTTTGGGGTTTGGGGTTTGGGGTTTGGGGTTTGGGGTTAGGGGGTCGGGTGGGGTTTGGGGTTTTTGGGGTTTAAGGGTATGGGGTATGGGGTTTGGGCTTGGGGGTTGGGCACATAGGGTTAACGAGTTTATCGATTGGGGATGTAAGGTGAGTGTAGAATTTCGCTGGGGCAATTGTTTAGTTTATTTTTTTGGGGGCGGGGTTAAGGTTTAAGGGTTTAAGGGTATGGGGTTTAATTAAGGCTCAGCGTGTGCGGGATAGGTTTGGCGTTTGGGCGCCAAAGGCCCCCTAAAGTCATAAACCCTACAAGCCCTAAAGCCCAAAAAAGCCTAAACCCAAAAATCTTCCCAAGCCCTAAACCCTAAACCCCAAGCCCGAAACCCGAAACCCAAACCCATACCCCAAACTCCAAACCCTAAACCCTAAGCTCCAAACCTGAAACCCTAAGCCCTCAATCCCAAACCCTAAACCCGAAACCCTAAACTCAAGCCCGGAACCCGAAACCCTAAGCCCTAAACCCCAAACCCTAAACCCTCAACCCTAAACCCCAAACCCCAAACACTAAACCCTAAACCCTAAACCCACCCTTAGGATGGCGGACGAACTGTGAGCCCCTCTGGCCAAAGCTGCCACCCTGCTCTGGGGATCCTGGGCACTGGCAACTTGCGGGTTCATCCTTTAGGGTTTAGGGTTTGGGGTTTAGGGCTAGGGTTTAGGGTTTAGGGTTTAGGGTTTAGGGTTTAGGGTTTAGGGTTTAGGGTTTAGGGTTTAGGGTTTAGGGCCGTTAGGGTTTGGGATTTGATTCATTTGGTTGTTCATATCGAAGTATCTGATTCGCAACCTCTGGCTCGCAGAACATCATCATGAGTTTCGCAAACTCGTACCCTTGTTTCATTTCCATGGTTGCAAGGTGGCATACAACAGAGGGTACCCGTCTGCGGTTCCTGGGCAACCCGTGCAGGGTTAAGGGTTTAGGGTTCAGGGTGTTTTCTTGTCGCAGCATACAAGCCAAAACTTGCGGCAACTCCCAAGAAGAGGAAAACCACACTTGGCTGTTGTTAAGGAAATCCAGCATACTGGGTCGTTTTATGAGACCCTTTTCCACTAACTGAGTTTAAGTCCCGTGAACTATCGGGTCCTTTAGGGAAGGGGGCTCAAAGGGGCAAGTACCTACAAAGCCTTTACAGAAGCTTGGGGAGCCCTCGAGAGTTGTCGGAGTGTTGGGGGGAACCTTGGGGGTACCTGCTCCTTGTGAACCCCCTCTGCATCCAAGGGTAGTTTTGCGGGCCCTGAGTATGGTGCCTTGCCTTCTTTGAAGGGTTCTGAAGTATGGGCCCCTTTGGGTTAGAGGGCAAATATGGGGTCCCTTTCAAGGGCCCTTAATTATAATTATTGAGGAGACATGTAACTACCCTAAGACCCCCTTAAGGACCCTATAACTAAAGAACCCGGAAAATAGGGCTGATCGGGTTGAGGGTGGGCCTCGGGATCTTCGGACACGGAATCCCGAAACCCTGAAACCAATGTAAACCCCAAACCCACAACCCATGCTTATAAATCCTAAGCCCTAAATCCTAATTCCTAAACCTTAAACCCACTGAATCCGAAACCCTGAACCCTAACTCATGAAATCCTAAACCCTCACCCCTAAACCCCTCTGACCTGTGCCAAGGAGTCAAAACTCGTCCCCCGAACCAAGTTCGGTGCCGAAACCATGGCTCAATGTCGGCCTGGGGGCCAGATTTGTGGGTCTAGGATTTAGGGTTTAGAGTTTAGGGATTAGGGTTTAGGGTTACGGTCTAGGGTTGAGGGTTTAGGGTTTGGGTGGGTTTAGGGTTGAGGGTTTAGGGCTTAGGGCTTAGGGTTTAGTATTTTGGGTTTGGGTTTTTGGGTTTTGGGTCTTGGGTTTAGGGTTTAGGGTTTAGGGTTTAGGTCTTTTTAGGGCTTCAGGGTGGTCTAAGGAGGTTTATAGGTTGCACGTTTATAGACCCTACTGCTCCCGAGTGCTCGTTGGGCTTCTATAAGGCAAAAGGAGTCTAAGGGTTTAAGGTTCAGGGTTTAGCGTTTAGGGTTTAGGGTTTAGGGTTTAGGTCTACTTGAAGGTTCGTGGGTACTTGTAAGTAGGGTTATGAGTATGGGGGGTCTGGTTACAAACATATTAAGTGTACGTGTAGCCCTACCCATGAACCTCCAAGCAAGCTCACCTTAATGCAGAATCAAACCCTAAACCATGACCCCTGAACCCTAAACCCTAAACCCCGAGGCTTCCTTCCCCAGTTGATTCAGGGGCAGCGTTGGGCTCCTCCATTTTGTTTGTTGAGTTTGATTCTCTGGAGGTTTAGGGTTTAGGGTTTAGGGTTTAGGGTTTAGGGTTTAGGGTGGCACTCAGCAAGAAAGAGTGCTAGCTGGCTGTGGGACCTCGCCGTTCAAGCCTGAAGCTTCTTAACCCTAAACCCTAAACCCGAAACCCGAAACCCTGAACCCTGAACCCTGAACCCTAAACCCTAAACCCTAAACCCTAAACCCTAAACCCTAAACCCTAAACCCTACCGAAGCCCCAGACCTTGGACATAATATCCGCAAAGGATACTTGTTCCGGCACGACTGGGCGCTCCTGCCCGAATCTGTGCGGATTCGCTGCCTGGCCGTGGAGCCTGAATTGTCAGCCCTAAACCCTATACAGGCTTTCGAGCCTTTATGGTGGTACTGGGTTGAGGGTTTAGGGTTTAGGCTTTGGGATTAGGGTTTGGGTTTGGGCTCTAGGGTTCGGGGTCGTTGCCTGATGAGAAGGTACGTTCTTCAAAACAAGGTGTCAAGAAGGGGCAAGGACGTCAGTTGTTGACTGCAAAGGCTTGAGGGGATTGGGGCGTCTCTTGGGAAGCTTCAAACTTCGGCTTCCTTGATGCAAGCCTCAGTTGACCGAAGAAGGAAGACCCTAAACAATAAACCCGAAGGGTTTATGGGCCTATAAACCCCTAAGCCCGACGTAAACGGCTACATCCCGTGCACAGTCAACCCTGGGCCCGATACCCCAGATACAGGGGTCGGAATAATTCATAAAATCGTATTCTGTTGGGGTCCCCTGTGTAATTATACTATAATAACCCCCCCCCCCCCCCCCCCCCCCCCCCCCCACAAAAAAAATCCTTCTAGTTATTTAGGCGCCTATAGTAAACCCCAGAACCGGCGGCGGACCACAAAAGGTAAAGCCGAGAACAGAAAGCAGCAGAACTCGGCACCGTCTCACCAGGGGCGTGAGGCCCTTAGCCTCCCTGCAAAAGGCAGGCCCTAAACCCCAAACCCTAACACCCTACACCGTAAACCCTAAATCCTAACCCCTAAACCCTCACGTTGGCGCCCGATATTCGCTCTTTGGAGATGGTGCTGCAGAAACCCCCCACAGCGTGACAAGGGCACATCGTGACTACGCCTTCAACTTCAGGGGTCCCCGCTCTAAACTAGGAGGGGGTTCGCCCTACAATCATGATCTTGAAACAAACAACTTATCCTGAACCCTAAATCCTAAACCCTAAACCCTAAACCCGAAGCATCTGGGCTGTGATTGAGGTACCTCTTTGAAAAGGGAGAGCTGGGGTTCGAAGATCTTCCTTCAAGGACTTACGTGGTCCCTCACCTAGACCTCGTCGTATTGGGGCGGGGTTTGGGGTGTGGGGTTTAAGGTTTGGGGTTTAGGGTTTGGGGTTTGGGGTTTGGGGTTATTAGAGTTTAAGGTTCAAATGGTTTTTGGACATCATTGTGCGAAATTAAATTCGGTTCCTGAAGCTACCAGTTGAAGATCTTGGCAGCGCCACTAGCCCTAAACCCCATTTCCTAAACCCTAAACCTCGCGCGGGGGTCGCCAAGGGAAAGCACGGCTGCGTGTTGCCGGGCCTGTCTGAGTTTCCAGAGCGTCTTGGCCCACACGGGAAGGCTACCGGCCATGTTTTTGCGGGGGCTACAAGTATAAACCGTAATTAACCCTAAACCCTAAACCCCCTGCTTTGGGGTCCAAAGTCTACAAAATGGTACATACCTTGGGCTACTTCGGGCCTCTGAGTTTGTGTTTCTTGGCAGCCCAGAGGTACCCTTGTCCCTTTTTGTGGTTCAAGGTTCCCCTATCAAGCAACCAACCCAACAAGGGTACCCTGATAAAAATATGGTTCCTGGGCCGCCACGGTTCTGTTCGCCCAGGACAGTCACAAGATCAGGGTTAGGTCAGGTTGGGCCGTCGACCCCCAAACCGTTGAATTTAGCCATACGGCCTCCCTAAACCCTGAACCCGGAACCCTAAATCTGAACCCTCAGCCCCAAAACCCCGTGGAAGCGTTCGCCACCCCATCCCGGCTCCAATTATACGGTGGGCCCCAGAAACCCAAAGGCCCAATAGACAAGCGATTTAGGGTTCAGGGTTTAGGGTTCAGGGTTTAGGGCTTCGGAGCCCGGAGGAATGCCTCGGCCTCAGTACGAGTTTAACAAAGGCGCCCGGATGAACAACAAAAAATGCCAACGCGTCTTATGCTGTGTGCCTCATTAAGGGCTGAGTAGGTATATCTTTCAGCCTGATAAATTATGGCTGGAGGTCCTTCGTTGAGGATTGGCAGCTTTTAACGTGTTGGGTGCTGAGGGGTCATCCTTTAGCTTGGTTCCAGCACTTCACACCCCCTCCAAAACCCCAAGTTGAACTAGGACCCAGAGTAGGCCCTTATAACCCCCCTGTGAACCAAAAAAACCCAAAAGGGCACTTTTTTTCTCCTGGGTTACTCCTTGGTCTTGTCAACCTTGTCCCTTAGAAACTCAGCCGGTGAGAAGATGCATCACCCAGAATCCCAACTCTAGCAGGAGCGCGGCAAAACCAAGAAGCCAAGCAAGCATATGGTATTCATGTATACACATGTTTTGTACATTCAAAAAGTTACCCGTTGAGTGTACTGCGTACATGCGTAGATGTGCCAGAGTGAACCTTGTTATACACATACATCATTACGTGCAGATGCGGACATGCGCACATACGCATATGCATGTGAGAAGCGACTCAGAGACGTCGTTGCGTATGCTTGGTAGCCCAGAGGTAGCCGTTTTCCCTTTTTTTGGTTCAAGGTTCCTTTATATAAAGTGACCACCCCCCCTCCCTTCCCCCCCCCTCCCCCCAACAAGCAGCTTATTAGAATATGGTCAAGTAGTGTATTTATGTCCATACACACCCTAAACCCTAAACCCTAAACTGTAAACACAACGAGCTTACTTCGCCTGGCCAGCTCAGGCCCTGCAATGTGAACCAGGTCGCCGACTTTTGGAAGAGTGGTCCGCAACACGAGGCACTGCAGGGGGAGTCCGCATGGGTTAGAGGGTTTAGGGTTTAGGGTTTAGGGTTTAGGGTTTGGGATGGTTCCCCAAGCTCTACGGGAGTCAGGCAAAAAACCCCTCTAATCAAGGGCATAAATCCCACAACAACAGAACGAGGTAGGCCCTTGGGACATGTTATCTTTCCCCTTATTGGGTTTAAGAGGATAACATTAGGAACATTCTTCAGACGGTCTAAAGGGCCACCCAAAATAGAAGGTGTAAATGGAACGCCGGTTCAAGTCTAAACCCTGCGCAGGGTGGAGCCGGAGCCGTTTAGGGTTTAGGGTTTAGGGTTTAGGGTTTAGGGTTTAGGGTTTAGGGTTTAGGGTTTGAGTTTTAGGGTTTTAACCCTTTGGATACTGATGAGTTGGGTAGGTAACCTTGACCCGTTTGGTGGGACTTCAACATCGGCAACCCCACAGGTTAGCTGTTCTTGCCAGACAAGGAGGTTGCGCAAACTGCCACAAGCCACAAATCAGCACATCAAAAGAACACCGGAAACCTGAACCCAACGCTACATCCCTCTCCCGCGTCTCGGAAACACCCGAAATGCTAAACCTTCAATACACCTACGCACCAAACGGTCTCTCAGCAGAGGGAGAGTACTCCAACTGCAAGCCCTACACCCGAAAGACCTTCAGCACCCTACACTCACTTCACTGACCCAAAAACGCCCTAAAGGCTTCAGAACACCTAAACCCTGAACACCTAAACCCTGAACCCTAAACCCTGAACCCTAAACCCTAGACCCTAAACGCTGAACCCTAAACCCTGAGCCCTGAACCCAAAACCCTCAACAGGTACCCCGAGGGGTGATCCACACCTACTACACCTCGACGGACGTCACCGATCCCGAGGCGCCCGGGACGCGTAAAGAAAGCGCAGGCTTATGTAGGGTTTAGGGTTTAGGGTTTTAGGGTTTAGGGTTTAGGGTTCAGGGTTTAGGGTTTAGGGTTTAGGGTTTAGGGTTTGGGGTTTGGGGGTTTGGGTGTTTGGGGGTTTGGGGGTCTTGAACTCTAGTTTGTGTTATGGCCAGAGTGCTCATAATCATGCGGTTGAAGGCATGGGCCCTTAAGCTTGGGGCCCTTCCAGCCATATATATATATATGCACGCATTGAGGCTTCCTGTGCTCTTTCCAAGAAAGGCCAAGCGTTTACACCCGCTCAGCGAGTAGGTCCTTCAAGCTGAAGCTAGCCTTAGGAACCGCAAACCCAAAAACCCTGAAACCCTAAACCCTAAACCTTAAACCCCAAACCTTCACCTCTTTTCTTCTTTCCACCCAGCCTAACCCTGAGGCTCAAAATGGCCCGAAAACCTTATATATGAAGGCCTTTTGGCCCAAGAACCCTAAAACAAGAGGCCTTAAAGAGCCTTAGGGTAAACACCTAAACCTTGGACGAAGAGGGAGCGTAGACAAGCCCTGACCATCAGAAACTTAGCCAATACAGAAGAGCTTCAGTCCAATGCTGTTTTCAGGTTTAGGTTCTGCAGTGAGCACTGAGCCCCAAACACTTAGGGGAGCAGGGTTCCCCTGAACCCCCGAAACCTCAAGCATACAGCCCCAAACCCTCAACCTAAGCCCCTAAGCCCCTAAGCCCCTAAGCCCCTAAGCCCAAAACCCTAAACCCTAAACCCTGCACCCTGAACCCTAAACCCTAAACCCACCCTAATCCGAAACCATGATTCTTAAACCTCGATACCCCTGCCCCCCACCCCTAAGCCCCTATGTGCCGAAACCCCTATACCTCAAGCCACAAACCCCAACCCCGAAACTCTACAGCCGCAGTGGCTTTCGACGTGGCTCCGTTCTCAATACAGGTCTCCACCCTAAACCCTAGCCCGAAACCCTAAAGCCTAAACCCAAAACCATCTAGGAGTCCTGATAGATTGGGAGACAAGCCCGCGAGGACAAAAGGACGCACACCCTCATCAACTGGCAGAAGGCCCGAAGATCCCGGAATCGGCTTCAGATGCCATCGCGACCCCCCAAAAAGGCCCCTAAGGTTTAGGGTTTAGGGCTTAGGGTTTAGGGTTTAGGGTTATCTAGGTAGGCCCTTGGGATACTTTTTATTTTCCCTTTCTGGGTTTTTAAGAGGATCATGTTCAGGATGTTTGTTTAGAGGGTTTTAGGGGCCATCCTAGTACATAGCTGCCATCGCAACCTCTTATGTCTTGCTAGCCCAGTGGTGCAATTTTCCTTGTTGTCTGTTCAAGGTTCCCTTTTGGAGTAACCGACCCCAAGAAAGTGCACCCGTATCATAAAACCGTTACTGGGCTACCAAGATCTATCTTGACAGGGGTGGTACTTGAAGGCTCATGGGTATGTATGAGTAGGTATATTATATAGGTACCCTACATAAGGTTTGAGCCATAGTTCCCCTACTTATAAGCCTACTTATGAGCACCCAAATGCATAGTCACGAAAGCCAGCTCTTTTGGAGCTTGCGGGGCCGGAGTTCTTGTTTACAAACTTTATTTTGGGACAACCAGCACTCCAGGGCCTCAATCTCCGATGTCCCCCTCTCCCCCCCCCCCCGCCCCTGAGCCCCTGAGGACTTACTTGAACCGTACAACACCGTGCCAAGATTGAAACGATGTATGCCTGTAACCCAGCTTTTGGGAGTGCGCGCCTGCGGAGAAACAAACGGAGAAATCACCGGCGCTGCAAATCTGCCAGGGAACAGGGTTTAACTAGGGTTTAGGGTTTAGGAGCTTTCGTCCGCCATGCCTCAAGTTTGTGTATTTATTTATGTACACATAGCACCACGTGTATATGTGCGACTATCCAAGCCTATCCCTCTCTCTCTCTCTCTCTCTCTCTCTCTCTCTCTCTCTTTGTCTCTACAAGAAATATATATCAATAAATAAACACAAGGCATAAATATATATATATACACACATGTTACGCCCTATATACTATAGGCCTGCAAGTCACTTCCTTGATTTTGAAAGGCTTGGCAACGCGCTGGCTGGGAGACAAGGGTTCTGACCATTGAGCCGTGGCATGCGCATCATTCGGGTCTTGGGTTTAAGGATGTTTTATAGAGTTTAGGCTGTAGGGATTTAGAGCTTAGGGTTTAGGGTGTAGGGTGTAGGGATTTAGGGTTTAGGGTCACACGCCTCGGCCCCAGCACGGGTTCAAAAAAAGGGTTTAGGGTTTAGGGGTTTAGGGTTCAAGGACTCGTGGCTAGTGTTTAGAGGAGTGTTCGTCGACAGGGTTGCTTCCAGTCTAGGGCGTGCCGATGTGAAAGCATGCCACAGTCAAGGGAACGACCTTCTCCCACATGATGGGCGCTTACAAACTGCTCACCGCATACCTGTACCCTTGATGCAACTTTCGTTTTACTCAAAATCTCTACCCGTCACGATCGAGGCCGTCTTGCACATAACCTTGATGGCACACCACAAACCTGCTTGGGGATGGCTTGCATCTGCGTTTCCTGCGGCGCCTTCCGATGGAGTGAACCCTCGGGCTCCTACTCGCCGCGCTTACTGGGTTGTTCCTGGTTTTTTTAAAGTTCATTTCACTTCTTCCTTATAAGGGACGGGAACCCATTCTCAAAAAAATCAAAGACAGCTTTAAGCACAACTCAGAGAAGTCAGAATCGAAAAGCAGGTTCTGGCCATAGTCACCCTACTTATGAACCTCCCATGGCCCTGCTTAGAAATACCCATGAGCCTCCAAGTGGAGGGGGAGGGGGGAGGGCCACTGTTCAGGGTTGACTTGTTTGCTGTTGTCCAAGTCGCATGTTTCCTCACCCTCAACACCGCAAGTCGGGTTTGGGGCATGCGGGTGCCTAGCACTGAACGTCATTTCAGCTTCCTGAACGTCCTAAACCCGGGGTGTATATAGGGTTTCGCGTTTAGGGTTTAGGGCTACTAGGACCCAATCTGGCTAGTATCCAAGCCCAGTTGCAAAAAGGGCTACTAGGACCCAGAGTAGGCCCTTATTCCCTTTGTTTAGGGCTTAGGTTTCCTCCAAAGGGTACCCGTTTTATTCCCAGGTTACTCTTGGGTCTAGCTGTAGTTGAGAAGACTCAAAGGTATCCCCCTTCGACTTAGAACTACATCAACGCCTGGAAGCCTACACCTTCTTGAGTACCCTAAACCTTAGCACTCAACCACACCCTATGCGTGCCCCCTATTGAGGACGACGCGAGGGTCTCGGAGAACTTCACAAATTTCTCTTCGAGCGTGCTCAAAATCCCCCTGGGTGGAAACAAGATGCAGCTCTCCAAACTAGCTAGGTCCTCGTTTGTTTGCAGTTATCTGGCGTTGAAGAGGATGTCATCTATGAGAGTTTCAGAGGGTTGAGAATACACCTGCTTAGGTAAATATTTTACCCCCCCCCCCGAGAATGTAGCCCTGACAATCAGTCGGCACTCTAAATTGTTTTTCCCCTGCGGGCTCCTATTTTGCATCAAAATTCCCTAAACCTGAAACCTGAGAACTTGCCATATGATGAGTTATCTAAATCGGGTTCCTTCTTGGGAACCCGAAATAAGAGGGGCCGCCTTATGATAAGGACCCCCCCAAAAGGGCCAGTCATTTCGAACTCGCCATCTGGTACCGTAGCTGAGGTTCTAGAAAGAAGCGATCTTTCCGGGTCAGCTCAGAGGTGTGCAGGGGCTGTGTGTTCTTTAAATCCCCTCCCCATGGCGTTCTCAGAAAAGGGCACCGAGACATACACCAGAGAACATTTGTTCTTGAGGCACTGAGCAAGGCGCCTAGAGGGGCGTTGCGCGCAGGGTCTCAGGGCAACGCGCAGGTTCAAAAAGGCTTGAATGGAGTAGGAGACCGATGGCGGCTTCGGTGTCAGGACTCATCGGTTGAGGTTTTGTGCTAAACATGTAGGCTGTCAGGCCCCTAACCCCCTCAACCTCTCTAACTGAACCCAAAACGCCAAACCCTAAACCCCCACCAGAGATTCAATCCCAAGCTCTGAGGTACGACTATCACTGCTACATACGGTACTTGGCCATGGCAGAAGCAGGCCAGCGGAGTTCAGAGTATTGGGGGGGGGGGGGACGAGGGCGGCCGCTGGGGGGAGACGGTTCAGGTATGGGTTAGTTGTTGCTTGTTTTGAGTTGGTTTAGGGGCTTAGGGCTTATAGGGCTTAGGGCTTAGGGCTAGCTTAGGGTCTAGGGTCTAGGGTCAAAAGGTAGCTGCAGTTACGACATGACGAAGCTAGGTACTTCACAGTCCTGACAGCTCACATGTCCCATGGGACTCATAGTATGAAGTATAGCGAGTGAGAGAGCGAGCAAAGGAAGATCCAAAAGGGAAATGCAAGCAGAGTTTTACTACAGGAACGATTCCGTCTTGATCATCCTTCTCTAGAGTCTATACAGCTTGAACTGACCCTGAACCCGAAACCCACATACCTGGAGATCTAAACCTCGATTCCCAAGTCACCAAGAGCTGATCTTGCAGCTACGGGTATTTATTCTGCGTACCCTCAACCCTGAACCCTTCTTTGCGCGCGGGCTGCGACGTGTCTAGGACACTTGGCCCTGCACGCGAAATCTTTTCAACTCTAGATTCGACACTTCCCCTAAACCCTAAACCCGAAACCCTAAACCCTAAATGCAAGGAGGGGGATGGCTGTCGGATTACGACACGATACCCACGTGGCTGGCGCCCGATGCGGCAGCCCGGTATGCAGATGATGGGTTAGGGTTCAGGGTTTAGGGTTTGGGGTTTAGGGTTTAGTGTGTAGGGTTCAGGGTTTAGGGTCAGGGTCGAGGGTCGAGGGTCGAGGGTTGAGGGTTGAGGGTTTAGGGTTTAGGGTTTAGGGTCCAGGGTTTAGGGTTTCGTTTGTTCATTGTAAGGGGCACAGTCGGGTGGCCCAGCAGCATGAGAGGATAACACTCAACCCAGATACTCACAAGCCAAGCGGGTGGAAGACATTCCCCTCTTTGGGCTTAGTTACTTGAGGCTTTTGGGTGATCATGAAACCCTCATTTCAGGAAAAGATAGAAATTTCGCCCGTTTTGCCAGTCCAAGCGGAATCTGCTCGTCAGGCAGGCCTTTTCTTCGAGCTTGCCGAAATCCCCCCCTCCCCCCCTCGGTTTAGGGTTTAGGGTGTAGGGTTTAGGGTTTAGGGTTTAGCTCCGCTGTGAGGAACTTCCGCTGCTTAAAGACTGCTTGGAGGCTCACCGGTACTTAGAAGGAAAGATGGTTGTGGCCATATCTAGGGTGCATATTGTCCCTAAACCCTAAATCCTAAACCCTAAATCCTAAACCCTAAACCCTAAACCCTAAACCCTAAACCCTAAACCCTAAACCCTAAACTGACTTAGGACCTTCCGAACGGGGGCCGCTTCACGATCATGCAGAATCACGTTCCCGCCCTGATGTCGGGCACGCACTCCGGCCTGTCTACCTCCCAGTCGGGGAGTTTAGGGTTTAGGGTTTAGGGTTTAGGGTTTCGGGTTTAGGGTTTAGGGTTTGGGGTTTCGGGTTTTGGGTCTACATTCACCCCAAACCCTAAGCTTCGGATGCTTCCCCTTATACTAACGGTCCTTATAGGGATGATAATGCGGAGGGGGGGGGGTGGTACTATAGTTCCTATTCAGGGCTGTTTTAGTACCAGGGGGAACATCCCAACCCTAAACCCTAGACACTAAACTCCCCAAGTCTCTGGACGGCACGAACTTATTGATTGGGTTGAGGGGGGTTTCGAGTTTATCGTGCAGGGGTTTGTTTTGGCGCCGTAAACCTAAACCCTAAACCGAAGTCAACATATGAGAGTTTGCGATAATAGGGGACCCTCTCGACTAGACCCCAAAATAGTAGGATTCATCGGATTCCCTTATGAAAAGGACCCCAATAAGGTACGCCTCATGTCGAAAACCCCAATATATGCAAAAAGGTTGTGGGGTTTGGACTTGGCAGTCGCTTCCCCAACAAAAGAACCACCCCTCCTCCCCCTACCCCTCCCCCCCCAAAGAAAAAAACAAAACACTACTGATTGATGGGTGCTTATGGGTTTGGGGTTTAGGGTTATACGGGAGGTTATGTGCATAGCTACCGTACTTGCAACTCTACTTGTGAGTACTCATGAACCTCTACAAAATCAGAAAGCCCCCACGCTCTCGAGCTGTTGCGAGTCTCTGGGCATAGGGCTATAGGGCGTTCGGGCTTAGGGTCCAGGATTCAGGGTTTGCGTGCAGGGTTATGATTTGGCAGGGTTTAGCGTCAGGAAGGAGGAGTGGTATCGAATCGCTCACGAGCTCGTGGCCGTGGGCCTGGCAAAGGGTGAGGAGCCTGTGCACTTTGGGCTTACAGACAGTTCCACTTTTCCCACAGCGAACCCTTATTCCCCGTAAACCCCCGCTAAGCCAAAAAGACCAGGATACCCTAAACCCTAAACCCTCAACCCTAAGCCCTGAACCCTACATTCCTTTGGGAATCCAGTCTGGGACCCTGGTGGCATGGTGGTGCCTTCTTTTCCCATGTTTAGGGGTTGGGCTCTCTGAAGATTGCTGCCACTGTCATCCAGAGGCACCTTGCGGACCATTCATGTGTTCAGGTGTGTGCCTTAAACCCTAAACCCTAAACCCTAAACCCTAAACCCTAAACCCTAAACCCCCAAGTCTGGGTGACAAGCAGTAGGTAAAGCCGTGAAGCTATTTTCAAAACCTGCCTGATCCCCACCCTGAGCACAAGCCCTAATTCCCAAACTCCAAGCCCACCGTTTGTTTATGGGGTTCTGAAAGGAGGGGGCTCCATGGGGGGTAGGTATAGGTACCAAGGGAACCCCTTGACGCCCTAAACCCTAATTAAAACCCTAAGACCCTAAAACCCCAAACCCTAACCCCTACAACCCTAAGCCCTAAACCGTTAAGAACCCGAATCATGTGTATGATGTTAAGTCCTTAGAGTCCCCGGAGGGTCGAACTTCCCAAGTATCTGATGTGTTCGCTTCTGGGGCTTCCGAGCTAAACCCTAAACCCTAGCTGCAACCATTGGGGTTATATCTACTAAATAAACGGTAAGTACTACTAAACTGTAGCTAACTGGGCTTACAGGTAAACCCTGTATTGAGAGCTTGGGACAAAACGTGCCAAATGCTACAGGAGCTTGCCGTCGGGGATAGCAAGAATCCGCTGTTCTCCGACATGTCCCACACCCGCACTTGAGCGCTTCTCAGAGGGCGGTTTAGGGTTTAAGGTTTATGGTTTAGGGTTAGGGTTTAGGGTTTAGGGTTAGGGTTTAGGATTCAGGGTTGGGGGTATAGTATCCTTTCCTGGCAGTTGTCCGCGGTCCAGTTGCAAAAGGGTCTGGGCCCCCTGTAGCGTTATTGTCATAAGCAGCCCCTTCGTAATTAGCGGAATCTGCAATCCCCGTGTGATGACGTGCCTGGAACCATCATGTGGTGGTACGGGAGTGAGCTGGATGGACGACCGGTGTTCTTTGATGCTGATGATTTGCCTTGCTTCGCCACTCCCCCCCCCCCCTCCCCCGCCCCCGCAACGACAAGGCCATCAAGAAAGTCATCAAACAAGTTCTCCCAGAAGTTGCAGGGAGGACTCGGAACAAACTCTCACTTTGGTCGACCCCGTTGATGCGAGACCCTTCTCCAGGGCCGGGCAAGCCGAGAGCTCGGAGCGAGCCCATTCTTCCATGCCTGGCAATTCTCATGGCGCCCGGAAAACACGCCAACCCAGTGGCTGCTCAGTCGAGTTCACACCCCCCACACCACCCTAAGGCTCTTGGGCCCTCAACACCCCAGGAATTGAGACCCCAGAACCCTCCTTAGGAGGTGCCAGTCCCTCTGTAGGGACGGTCCATGGAGCCTGATAGGCAGACAGGCCCTTCCGTGAGACCATATCGCATCCTTGTTTTGGCTGACCGACGGAACCCTGATGGTTCCCCAAACCCCACAATCCTACAATCCTGCTCTTTGCTAAAAGCCCCCCTCGCAAAAACAAAGATAGTAGTCCCCAAATTGCCCTCATAAGGAAGATCAGATACTTTCTGGGGGGGGTTCTTCGACAAACAGTACAGGGTGGGGCCCCCTAGTTGTAAGTAGAGTTATAAGGGCCCTAAATTGGGTTATAAGGACCCTAAGTTAGGTTATAAGTCCCTTAACTACAGTTAGTATAGTAAGGGGGCCCCACCCTGTAGAAGTCGTAGCTGCATGTTTTGTGTGTTGCCTCGGTGTACGAAGCCGATGCCTCAGGCCAGCTCTCGGCCGGTGGCAAACAAAACCTATACCCTGAACCCGAAAGCCCTAAAGCCCTAAACCCTAAACCCTAAACCCTAAACCCTAAACCCTAAACCCTAAACCCTAAACCCTAAACCCTAAGCCCTGGAAGAATACCCACCCCTCCCTGGGTTGTTTGTGGTGTGGGGTAGTCCCTGGGTTGCCCTGCATAATTGCTTCTGGGTTTTGGAGTGCTATACTTTTGTTTTTTTGCTTCTGTGTTCCTATTATAGCCACTTATACCTAAAATGTATACATTTTTTCCAGGGTCTACCCCAAAGTAGGGTGACCCTACTGGTAAGCAACCACGAACCTGCAAGCTCCCTCTCGCTCTCACACTGTCCCCCTTCATGGGCCTTTGGCCTCTGAAATCCAAGGTTTGCCATGCTTGTGCCCTGGGCAGCAGAACTCAATACCCAAAACCCTAAACCCTAAGTTAGGTCTGTATTGCCAACCACATCCCTTTTGGCCTTTGGGAATCTGCCGATGGGACCTTGTTCTCCATGAAAGCGATCTTGGCTCGGCAGGGCTTCAGGGTTTGTTGTCTAAATTGCCGAGAGCTGCACTTCTGAATTCCACGATGTGTTTAGGGTTTGGGGTTTAAGTTCCGGGGCTGTTCTCTGGCTTGGGGAAGACTCCAATTCCGGGTCACGTTTCTCGGGTTCTTTGGCGGCTCGGGCCTTCGCTTACTCCTGAGAAGCGCCGCAGCTCGAAATGGTGTTCCACTAACCTGTAATTGGCCACTTAAACCCTAAAACTCCCCCCCCCCCCCCCCTGACTGCAGGTTGCTTCTTTGGCAGGTGATAAAAAAAAGGGAGGCCCCAAAAAATCTTCCTCCAAACCCTAAACGCTAAACCCTTTCTCCCAGGCGCTTCGACAGCAGGATCCTCAACCTCTCATCTTCATCAATACGGTCGGCGATGGCAGTGACCGCTCTGCCTGGTTGCCTCCCTAAACCCAATGCCACTGAGACCCTCTTAGGGTTTAGGGTTTAGGGTTGAGGTAGGGTTTTTGGGGGCTGTGAGGGTCTAGCATATAGGGTCTATAGGGTCGCTGCAGGGTCCTGCGGGTGCTTTGCTCAGGGTCTTCACTCATCTCTTGGAGGTACGTCTCAACCCCTCAGCCACCCAAAAATCACCTCCCGGGGCTGCGCCCGCCGGGCACCTGAAACCCCAGAACTGGGGTTGTGGCGAGGTTTCGAGTTTGTGTGAAGACTTTTTTCGGTCTTGTTGTGCAGGACGTGTAGTGCAAAATCAGGAGCTTTTCAGACACAGACTCGGGTTAAGGGCTCCTGGTATAGCCTTACCATCACCCATGCCACCCGAACACTGCAAAAAAAGAAGACAAAGAACACCAGCAATCAACAAACCGAAAATTCCACTTTTCAACTTGGACGCGTGCTGTGGGGTTTTTGGGCCACGACTCTGGGGACTTTATGTTTTTGTACAGCCGCTGTACCGGGTAGCTGTTTTAATTAAGTGAGCTTGTGCTCTGCCTTATTGACCGTCACCCCCATACAGGGTGGGACCCCCTTACTATACTAACTGTAGTTAAGGGACTTAGAACCTAACTTAGGGTCCTTATAACCCAATTTAGGGCCCTTATAACTCTACTTATAACTAGGGGGCCCCACCCCATAGGTTGTCAGTAGTTTTGGGGATGGTTGAACGGCATGCCGTTCATAGGGTTCAAGACCCCTGGTTCGCTAGGATCTTGGGTCGTGTAAACCCTAAAACCCGAAGCCCTAAACCCTAAACCCTAAACCCTAAACCCTAAACCCTAAACCCTAAACCCTAAACCCTAAACCCTAAACCCTAAACCCTAAACCTGAGGATGTCCTGGGGCTTTAAGGTGCACGGGCTGTTGCGGCCGACCCAGCCCCGATCACTGCGCGCTGAGCCAGGAGTGGGGCCCGGACGTGCGGAAGACGGACTGTGCCCCTCAGTTGCTACTACCCTAAGCTTCCCCAAGTTTCCCAGAAACCCCCCCCCCCCCTCTAAACCCTCTAAACCCTCTAAACCCTCTAAACCCTCTAAACCCTCTAGACCCTAAACCCCAAACCAACATCAAGGCGCTGATGCGGAGGTTTTCTGCAGGGATGCACTTCTCCCACCGCTCAATGCAGGAAATCGGCTTCTCGGCCAGCAGTGGCTGACCTCTGCCGCTTCTGGGGGGGGGGGGGGGGGTTGGGGTTTAGGGTTCGGGTTTGGAGTTCGATTTGTTTTAGAACTTCTTCTGGTTGGACTGTCTACTATATGTTTGGTAGAACCTTGCACCTGAAACCTGCAACACTCAGCTAAATTTCTTTGCTGGGGACAGGTTCGAGCCCCTAGTTTTCTGCCGATCTTTGAAGGCACGTGTTGTTTTTTTTCTCCCTTTGGGTTTAGGGTTTAGGGTTTAGGGTTTAGTGTTTAGGGTTTAGGGTTTAGTGTTTAGGGTTTAGGGGTCATTTGCCCGCCGGAGTGGCTTTCGGTTTAGCGAAACAGGAGACGAAAGCAAAAACGATGTAAGTAACCATGAGCCTTCGAGTAGCCAACCTTGCCAGCACTTACTAGCACTTACTGTTGCTTGTATATATATATATATATATATACATATGGGAGTACATTAAGGCCCAAGTACTCCCTATTTAGGTACATGGACCCTTGGGGTATACAAATGTATATATATATATATATATATATGTACATATTCATAGACATGCCCTTTACGGGATTTTTGTAGGGTACCTCACTCCCCCATTCCCTACGAACCAACAGTAAGAGCAAGGCCTTCACATGAACTTCCGCGGCCGCACGATGAAGCGGGCTACGGATCGCCCCCTGGGCAATGTTCGGCTTAGGGTTTAGGGTTTAGGGTTTAGGGTTTATAAGGTTTAGGGTCGAGGGTTCAGGGTTTAGGGTTCCCTAAACGCTAAACCCATCTAAACCCCAAACTCCCAGGTAGGAGAAGGGGGACTCGTAAGAAAGCAACCCTTCTTAACCCTCTTCTGGCTCTCTAAAGCAGGGATGTTTTCAGAGGTAACCCCCCATAATCCCAACCCCTATAAACTGAGTGGGTGGTGGGGTCTTTGTGAGATGGCGTTTTGCTGAAAAAATGGCTTTGGGTGAGTTGCTGGGTATGCACTTGGGACATTTCATTCCCTTATGGCCCCTTTATGTCAAAATGCCATACTGACCCGAAAACCCTATTCAAAACAATTTCGTCCCCATATACATAGTTTTTCTGGGGCTTGCAAGGGCCATCCTCCCCCCGTTGCAAGCCCTCATGAAGCCCAATAGGGTTTAGGGTTTAGGGTTTAGGGTTTAGGGGTTTAGGGCCACCCCTAAGGCCCTGAGCTCCCAACACCCTGCTGAGGCTTCTGGCAGTGCTATGCAGAGTCCTCGCGGAGCTTCGCCACTTGGCGGCTCCATTTTTTTTCAGGGCCTTCGAGACAGGGTTTAGGGTTTAGGGTTTGGGGTTTAGGGTTTAGGGTTTAGGGTTTAGGGTTTAGGGTTGAGGGTAGGGGTCGCTGAACCCTCAACCCTAAGCTTGGGATGTTCCCCTTTTCTACTAACAGTCCTTAGTAGGGATTAGAGTACCCCACGAGTATAGTCCCTTCAAGGACTGTGAGTATAAGGGGTGAGATCCCCTACCCTGAGCCAACAAAAACCCTACACCCAGATTTTCTCCCTGCTTCGAAGTACCCCATACGTGAAAGGCCCACTGCACCCCTTTGGTAGCCTCCCTGCGCCCGACACCCTGCACCCTGCACCCTACACCCTAAACCCTGCACCCTAAACCCTAAACCCTAAACCCTAAACCCTAAACCCTAACCCTAAACCCTAAACCCTAAACCCTAAACCCTAAACCCTAAACCCTAAACCCTAAACCCCATCCACCCCCGCCCAAAGAAAGGCGTTCAAGGCAGAAAACCAGACGACCACCTCTGTCCTTCCGCCGCTTGGATGTTCTCGGGCTGGCGGGCTGGGGGGGGACCTTTGGGCCCAAAAAACCCTAAAATACGAGGCGTTAGACCCTGAGGGTAAAAGTTGTGCCAGGCACAGGACGAAGCGCAGGACCTCGACCACGACTGAGCCGGCGAACCCCTGAACCGTCTCCACCCTCGACCCCAAACCCGAGACCCCTCATTGCTGAGCCACCCTAAACCCTAAACCCTAACTAAACCCTAAACCCTAAACCCTAAACCCTAAACCCTAAACCCTAAACCCTAAACCCTAAACCCTAAACCCTAAACCCTAAACCCTATCCCTAAACCGCTAAACCCTAAACCCGACAACGCTGACCCCTAAAGCCCGAAACCCCCGCTCCCTACTTCCTGAACCCGGCAGAGGCTAGGGGAACGCACTCTCCTGGGGTCAAAAGACACGGGGCCTGTCCTTCCCAGAGACTCCAGCTACCAATTGCTTAAGAACTCCCCCCCCCACAACAAAAAACATAGATATTCTTCCTTATAAGGGTAATATAGGGATTCTTTTTCTTCTTTTTTCTTTCGGATTCTTCAGCAAACAGTAGCCAGTATCCTACCGATCTCCCAGAAGTAGCCTCAGTTTTGAGAACATTCCTTGAAGTGTACTAGGGATCCTTGTAGGATTTAAGGACTATTCTGGTGATCGTAATTTTATATAGTAGTATAGAAGATCAAATGCAACAGAAGCGGACTCTGGTAGGATTTTGTGAAAGGTTCCTTTAATTCCAGGGATCCTTCTGTCTCCCACCCCAACACTTCCGAGGGTTCATAAGGGGAAAAGGGATGGACCCCCAGAAGGGACCCTGAATTTTATTCCCTTGTATATTCCATACGTAACCCCTATATACACCTTGTATAGCCCCGGCATACCCAAAGTAGCCCCTGAAGAACCCCTAAGGTCTCCCTTATAAGAGTCCCCCCTTTAGTCCCTTGAACCTTGTTGCCTGCTGCCCGAATTAAGGCTCTAGGTCTTGAGACCCCAGAACCCTCCTTAGGAGGTACCAGTCCCTTTTTAGGAGGGTCCTTAGAGCCTTAAAGGGGGTACCTACAAGCAGGGGTTAAAAGTAGGGCAACTATGGGTATAACCTTGTTTAGTGTCCTTATCGCCCTACTTATAAGTACCCGAATGAACCTGCAAGCTAAACTTCCCAGGGCCTAAGCTAGGAGTGCAAGAGGGGAACCCCTCCCCGCCTTACTTAGGGGCTGGGTGGCTAACCTATGACCTTTTTGGTTAGACATCATCCTGTTTCAAATAAGCCGCTAACTTTTTTGGGGCTGGGGTATTCAAGCCCTTAAGTTTAGGGAAGGGACATACAGGATGTCTGCTTGTGTCTGACTTAGAATTCGACTGGCATGCCTGAATGTAGGGCTTCTGACTTACGAACGAAGAAGGTAAATACTAGATCTCCGTTGACCCCATGTACCTTACACTGTACAAGCTTTCAGAGGGTTTAGGGTTTGGGGCTTAAGTTTTTTTTTCGGAATTTAGCTGAACCCACTCAACCGCACACCTTACTGTCTCGACCTTCAAGCTCAACCAGGACCTCTCAGGTCAAGATCTACCTTAAGGCTCTCAGGAGGGTTTTGAGGGCCACAGAGCCTTTGAGTAGGACCCGGAGCAGGCCCTGATCCCTTTTTGGGGGGAACCCTAAACCCTAAACCTTATAGTATTTATGTCTAGGTGACTCTTAGGGAATCCTTGAATATCCAGAGCCGCTTGGGCTCTAAACCCTCAACCCTCAACCCCGGAAGCGAAACCACAAAACCTACATCCTAAACCCTAAACCCTAAACCCTAAACCCTAAACTAATAACCCGAGTTCGCACTTCGCCGCCCAGGCCTGGTCCAGACCTGGCCTCGGTCTGGGGTGTTTTGTTGACGTCGGGACTGGGTAGGTAACCTTTGTTGAACCCTTTGGGGTTTAGGGTTTAGGGTTTAGGGTTTAGGGCTATAGTTTTCAGCCCCTAAGTTGATCGCTGGGTGCGGGACGATCTCGCGGACAAATTCCAGGGCTTTTTCAAGCGCAGGATGCGCTTTGAGAGTCCTTCATATTTTGGTTGGGGGTTTAGGGTTTTGAGGTTTAGGGTTTAGGGTTTTACGGTTTAGTTTTTTTTTGTCTTTTTTTTTTTTTTTTTTTTGGGGGGGGGGGGGGGGGGTTGTTGGGTTGGCATCAGTTGCACGCGCGTGGGAGAAATCATGTTGATGATGGCGTCGCGATGTTTTTTGTTGGGTTGAGGGAACCCGAAGAATGACCCCGCAGGCCCCTCAGCCCTTCACCCTGCATCAAGCCGAAAGCCCTCAACACAGTGAAAGCCTGTACTTTACATTCAAAGCCGATTAACGCTGGAACCCTAAGACCCTGAACCCTTCCCCATAACCCCATGTTTCAACTCGCTACCTTCTAACTCAACCCTACAAACCCTGAATCCGAAGCAACAACAGCTAAACACTATACCACCTTACCAGCCCGTTTACCCGATGAGCCCTATTCACCCTTTTAACCCTTCAACCCTATGGCCCTTTCAACCCTACAACCCTAGTTGGAGGTTCAGGGTACTTGTAACCCCCAATTATAGCTGCACTTATAAGCCCCCCCCCCCCCCCCCCAAGTCCTCTAAGTAGGTTATATGTAGATCAGAATTGGGGTTATAAGTACCCAACCTCCAAGTATAAACCTTGAACCCTATAGATTGGGACGTTCCCCTTCTACTAACGGTCCTTAATGGGGATTATAATCGGGTGTAATATGATCCCTACGAAGGACTGTTAGCATGAGGGGGAACATCCCAACCTATGGACCTAAATAGTGTACGCATGAACCTCCAAGTATGAACTCTATACCACCTCACAAGCCCTTTCACCCTACAACCCTATCAACCCTGATCACCCTTTTTTCGCTATATAACTTCTCCTATAACCCTATAAAACTTTGAACCCACTAGCCTCCTGCCACATACGTGGACTTCAGGCTTCACCCCGCGACTGCGGAGCGACAGCCACGTCGCAAACCTGGGTTTTTGGCTATACGGGCAATCCCTAACATACAGGGTGGGGCCCCCTAGTTATAAGTAGAGTTATAAGGGCCCTAAATTGGGTTATAAGGACCCTAAGTTAGGTTATAAGTCCCTTAACTACAGTTAGTATAGTTAGGGGGCCCCACCCTGTAGGAGTACCCCTCTTATACCCCAAACAGAATCCATATGTCTCATACGAGGGTTTACGATTTTGGGGTTCAGGGCTTTAGGGTTTGGGGTTTAGGGCTACTTTCAGCTTCTTGGCCAAGCTCATGGGTTGCCATGCTTTTTAGGGTTTAGGGCTTGGCTTAGGCTTTGCTTTTTGCTGCTGCGGCTGGCACCATGGATTGCATGTCCGCAGCTCTGATCTTCCTCATGAGTTGCTGCCTCTCCTCAAAAAAAACCATAAGACTGACCCTGACCAGGCCTCAGGCCTTCGGGTTTAGGGTTTCGGGTTTAGAGTTTAGGGCCTCAGGGCCTCAGTGGCGACGCCAGCGCCTCGCCCGGATCCATCTCTCGGCTTCGGGGTGGGTGTGGGCTCCGTCAGTTTTTTAGTTTCAGTTGCTTACATGCGCCTAAACCTTTTACACGAGAGCAGCTTTGAAAACAAGAGTGCAATAGACAACTGTACTGCAATGTACGTATGCATACCTATTTATATATATATATACATATATGTATATATATATATATACATATATGTATATATATATATAGATATACATATACATGAAATATATACATGACACCACACTGAGAGTTCATGCCTTGTTCATGGCTGCAGAGAGCTCAAAATTGCCAGCTGTATCTGTCGCCCTTGAGCCCCACGGAAGTGAGTTCTGCGGTTCCCCGGAAGGCAATGCTCTGCGATGAGTAGGGTTTTCTTGCGTTGTGCAAGTCACAAAAGTCGCTGTCAGTGTTGGACGAGCACCACTTGCCATGGCGCACAGCCTGCCAGAAACTCGGACCTTGGGGACGCTCTCAGGGTTGATAGCGTAGGTAAAGTTCTTAGGGTTCAGGGCTTTGGGGTGTGGGAGTGCTTGTCTTGCAGGTTGGGGAAGACCCTGCCCTCAACCTCTCAAGCAACTAAGCCAGCAGTCAGGCACGATTAGATCTCAGGTCTGACTTCCCTGGTTGAACAGAGACACGTCCGGCGCCAGCAAGAAACCCTTCAACCCTAGACCCATAAACCCCAAACCTTAGGGTTTTGGGTTTAGGGTTTAGGGTTTAGGGTCAAGCGAGAATGAGTCGAAGGCTGCTGTGTCGGCTGCCACCTGAGGGAGTCTATGGCATAGCTGGGGATCCAATGACTTGCGATATTTTCTGGGACGGCCACTAGAAGTCCTGTGCCCCTTGCTTCTTATATTTTTCCCCCTTGGGAGCTTTTTTTTTTTTTTTGTTTATATAAAACCCAAGAGGATATTTAAAAACAAGTTATTAAGGTTCTACGGGGAGTATAGGCTTAGGGGTCGATCTTGTTTTGCTTTTGCCATTCTGGGCGGGGTGTCCTGAAAACATCCGCCGCCAGTTTCCACGGTTTTGTGTTGATGTTGGGTTGGGTGATTCGTTTGGTTTTGGGTCCAGTCGCTTTTTTTGGGCGGGGGAGCGCGGGCATGAGTGGTTTGGGGCTTGAGTTTTTTTGACTTTTTGGCTGGCTTGATGTAGCCCCCCACATCCGCCCCCCCTGGAAACTACCAAGCAAAGCCCAGGTTTCATTTGGTGCTGTCCCTGCTCCTGCCGGCCCCGGGCAAGGTGCCGTGAGGGTAGGGTTTAGGGTTTAGGGTTTAGGGTTTAGGGTTTAGGGTTTAGGGTTTAGGGTTTAGGGTTTAGGGTTTAGGGTTTAGAGTCTGACTACGAAGTAAAAGGGACCCAGCATGGCAGCGCTCTGAATGCGGAGCTCAAAGCCTCCCAAGCCCCCACACGGCTGCGACTGAGAGCATGATAACCCAAAGGAACCATGTACCTATATGGTATATACTTGGGCCTTAAAGGGGTTCCTATATAGTAGCTTTAGGGCCCAAGTATCTACTATATAGGTACATGGATCCTTTGGATAACTAGGAGGCCCCGCAGTACCCTGATTTCCTGTGTTTTTGGAAGGGTTGGGT